GACTGTGAAGGCATGTTTTAACGTGACATTGAAAGAGTTGATTTACACATCCCAAAGGTATTAACATGTCATTCTGATTCTTTTAGAATTGCAGATGTGCACTAAACCTTGCCCATTATTGTAATGTACTTTCATTCAGCTTGGACTGTAATGCGTTATATTCATCTCCAAGCCGAGGGGACATACACCAGAAGTAAACTTCTCATGCTCCCTCAAAACAAACACCTTCATGCCCATTTCTTTCAGTTGGTGTGGAGCTCTAACTTCATTTTCTTTACCGTAGTTAGTTGCAGAGTTCATAAACATACACTTTTTTTTTTTTATTGAAACACCTATTGCACGCACAGAAAAATCCCAACAATATACATACATACGGTTTGTAAACACTTCAGGAATAATAAGTATTTCATTGGGTAATTAAGCATTGAGTCGGTTTTGTTCTTTCTCCACACATACAACTAAAAGGCCATGCTGGCGGTACAGATGTGATGATCATTAAACACAAAAAACATAGGAAGGATAAAAAATTGAGAAAACAAAACATTGCTATTTTTGGATACCACTCTGCAAAAATAAAGTGAATTTTGTCCTGAAGGTGGCACCAGAGGTACCGGCATGCTTTTACAAGAAAGGTTTATCCGCTGCAGGTGGCAATTTAATCTCATGTTCAGCTTTAGATAGAATGCTCTCAGCACATCATTATGCATTTAAAATCATTTAAACGTCCAAGAACAGCAGCGCATAAATAAATATCAACAATATGGTCAACAAAGTCACTCTTCAATAAAAGCGGAAGTGACGAAATATGACCGGAAGTAACTGCCACTGCAATTAAATGGCAGCCTACACATTTGCCACGCTTGCCCTGTAAACCGCTGCTTTTCTTAGTTTTCTCTCTACTTACTGGCAAAGACCCCTCTTCAAACATGTCCGGGCGAAACAACAACAAGCTGCCGAACAATTTGCCACAGCTGCAGAATCTTATAAAAAGAGATCCACAGTCATACGCAGATGAGGTAAGTGTTGTTAGCCAAACGCGCTAACGTTGTTAGCTAGCAGACTTTCTTCAGTGATTTATCGCTATGTTGTTGTGCCTTCCACAGTTTCAGCAGCAGTACCGACACTACCAGTCCAACATGCAGATCTTCAAACTGCAGCCTGACAAGCCGAACAAGGAGCTGGCAGAGCTTGTCATGTTTCTCGCCCAGGTACCGTGTTTAAGCTTGTATCCAATAGTGAGCTGCCACATACATATGGTGGAGTTTTGTGGTTGGATGTTTGCCTCTGAGAGTGGAAGTATTAAATGAGTAAATGTACTTGGTTGCATTCCAGCACTGCTATATTGTGTAGTATCTTCTTTAGGTTGTGTAATTAAAGTTCTTATTGTCCTTCAGGTTGGCCAATGCTACCCGCAGCAGCTGTCCACCTATCCACAAGAGCTGTCTGGGTTATTAATGAGTCACCACACAATGATAGAGTCAGACCTAAGAATGGTGAGACTATAAGTTACTGTCCATGTTATGAGTTTGTTGATATTCATGCAAATGGCATGTCTGTTAGTGTTGACATGTTTTTTTTTTGTTTCCTGTCTTTGTCAGACTTTCTGCAAAGCGCTGATTCTTTTGAGGAACAAAAATCTAATCGACCCCACCAGCCTCCTGGAGCTCTTCTTTGAGCTGCTGCGATGTCACGACAAACTTCTCAGAAAGGTTGGAGCTCTGCACTGCACTCAGCCCTCCAACATGTATTCTCTGTTCGTGTAGTCATGTAGCACTGCAACGATGAGGCGTCTAATCGATCGACAGAAAAAGAAACGCCAACTTTTTAGATGTTTAATTAATCGGCAAGTCATTTTTAATGCAAAAATGGCAGAAAATGCAGTTTTCAGCCTCGCAAATATGGAGATATTAAACTGAATATCTTTGGGTTTTTGGATGACGAAACAAAAACTTTTAAAGACATCACCTTTGACTTTGAGAAACGGAGATAGACATTTTAAAGACCCAACAATTAATTGATAAATCTAGAATATAATCAGTGGAATAATTGATATTGAAAATAACTGTTAGTTGCAGCCCTATTATTGAATTGTTTCCATGAAATTGTAGACGCACATTCATAGAGTCTGCTCTTATAGTTTCTAATTAGAAGAGTAGAAGGTGAATTTGTTGACAACTTGTATTTATGCTTACCATGTCTGATTTCCTCGTATAGCAATGAATCTATAATTGACAGACGTACTGGCTTTTCTTCTGTACTCGTATGTTTAATTGTTGACTTGTGCTCTTTTAATGTTTCCCTCTTCCCCTTTCAGAAGTAAACATTTGCTTCTCTCTCCCCGCAGACACTGTACACACACATTGTGGCAGACATCAAAAACATCAATGCCAAGCACAAAAACAACAAAGTTAACACAGTAAGTACACACACTCGCACGTGTTCACGTTTTCATGTTTGACTACAGCAGCTTTGAATAGTCACCGCTCCCTGTCTGTGTGATGATGTGATACTGTTGTGTGTTTCAGACGTTACAGAACTTCATGTACACCATGCTGAGAGACAATAACCCCCTGGCAGCAAAGATCTCTTTAGACGTAATGGTGGAGCTTTACAAGAGAAACATATGGTGGGGTTTGTTTACACTGAACTCACTTTACACATTCTTATTTTTTGCTTCTTTAGGCTGATTGTCTTTTTTTGTTTGTGTCGCAGGAATGATACCAAAACAGTTAATGTCATAACTACAGCGTGCTTCTCCAAGGTTACAAAGGTATGTTTGCTCCCAATGAAAGCAATGCTTTGCTCATTATATTGCACAAGTGGCAGCCCTGTGCATTCTCACCTGCCTCTCTTCCTGTTTAGATCGTTGTTGCCGGTCTTAAATTCTTTCTGGGCAAAGATGAGGATGAGAAAAATTCAGATGATTCAGACTCGGAGGCAAGTACCAAAAATATGTACAAATTATACCTTTTCTCATTCCAGAATGTCATTTTTGTTTAGTGCATATTTAAGATATGTGTTTTGTTGAGAATCAGTCTTGTCTTGCAGGCGGAGGGACCATCAGTCCGAGACGTGAAGGTGAGATACTCCACTGGCAAGAAAACCTCCAAAAACAAGAAGAAGATGGAAAAGGCGATGAAAGTCCTCAAGGTACCGCTCTTGTAACTACTATGTCATGACTCGTATTGTGTCACTTGTGTTCGAATGAATAACGTTCATTGTTTTGACTCTATTGTGCAGAAACACAAGAAAAAGAAGAAGGTGGAAGTGTTCAATTTCTCTGCTATTCATCTCATTCATGATCCGCAAGGTAGACTCACCGGTCTTCTCCACAACATCTGCAGCACAAAGAATTTGTTCAGGGCTTTTTTGTGCAACAATTTACATGAAACATCTGTTTTTACAAAGATTTCTCTGAGAAACTCTTGAAGCAGTTGGAAGCCTCTAAAGAGCGCTTCGAGGTGAAGATCATGATGATGGAGTTCATATCCAGACTGGTTGGAATCCACGAGGTGAGTGACGTGGCTCTCATCAGCTAGTTTGTGCACTCCTTGGTGGCAGATGACTTGCTGTAGAACTGGCCCTCGTAAATATTGGCAGAATTTACATGAATAATATGCAGGAGAAGCTTTGCCAGCATTTTTTTTTCAAGGGTAGTACTCGGCAGTAACGACATCTAAGCCGTTCTGACTGCCAGAGTTATAGGAATAATAATAATACTCTGTTCTTTTCCAGCTCTTCCTCTTCAACTATTATGCCTTTATTCAGAGGTTTCTACAGCCCCATCAAAGAGGTAAAAATAACTCCCAATTAAGTGAATGAAAGTGTTTTGACCTCTGTTGACGAGATGTTTTTAACAAACTGTTGCCTTTCCAGAGGTGACAAAGATTCTCCTGTGTGTGGCCCAGGCTTCCCATCAACTCGTCCCACCAGAGGTACATGAAGATCCATCTATTCTGTGAGGATGTAACGTAAGGATTCCTGTATAAACCTTCTCACACGTTCCCACTTGTGCAGATCATCGAACCCGTAATCATGACCATCGCCAACAACTTTGTGACGGAGAGAAACTCTGGGGAGGTCATGACTGTGGGGTGAGTAGCAGCCGTGTCTACTTTCTGGTTTCAGTTATCAAACGTTTGCGTGGATTGAAATGTTCAAACCAGAAATACAACTTCCATATATTTTTTTTAAATGTAGCTCCCATGCCAAAGCTAACTTTACCTTAAATTCAACACCTTTTTGTATCAAGCATCAACGCCATCAAAGAAGTGACAGCCCGCTGTCCGCTCGCCATCACTGAGGACTTGCTGCAGGACCTGGCTCAGTACAAGATCCACAAAGACAAGAGTCAGTCTGTTTTTCTGGCCTTTGTACTTAAACCACAAATCTGAATGCACTAAGGAGTTGTGCATATATGTGCATGTATATTCACTCACAAAACATGTGATTCTGTCTATTTGCGTTCAGATGTGATGATGTCTGCCAGAGGACTGATCCAGCTCTTCAGGAGTCTTAATCCACAGATGCTGCACAAGAGGGACAGGGTGAGCCAAGACTTTTACTGAAAAACACAACAACCACTTTAAAAATAACCCTTTTTTGTTGTTGCATTCAACAAATGTAAATAATTGTGCCATTTGTTGTCCAGGGGAGACCCACAGAAGCATCGACAGAGGCCAAGATCAAAGACTACGGAGAGCTGGAGGCTAAAGATTACATTCCTGGAGCTGAAGTCCTGGAGGTGGAGGAGGGGAACAAAGAGGGAGAGGAAGGCGGAGGTGAGCAGCTTTTTTTTTTTTTTTTTTTTTTTTTTTTTCTTCTTCTTATTGAATTTATAGGATTTGATTACAGGGGCTGAACTGGTCATAATCCAGTGTGTCCATGTGTGTATAGAGATGATCAATATTTGGCACATTTTTCATATTGTACAACAGATGGCTGGGAGAGCGCCAGTATGAGTGGTGATGATGAAGATGGGGAGTGGGTGGATGTTCACCACTCGGCGGATGAAGAAACAGGAGAAATGGTGAGAATATAACTGGATAGTTTATTCAATTAAATTTTATTTTGTATAGCCCAAAATCACAAATTTGCCTCAGAGGGCTTTACAAGCTGATGGTTCATTTTGTTTGGCATCTTGGTTTTAATATAAGGTGTGTGTGTGTGTGTGTGTGTGTGTGTGTGTGTGTGTGTGTGTGTGTAAGGCGGAGAAGCTTCAGAATATGCCAGTCGAGGAAAGGAAAGCCAAAGCAGCAGCGGTCAGCGGCAGCAGGCTCCTCACTCAAGATGACTTCAAGAAGATCCGTCTGGTCCAGCTGGCTAAGGAGGTCAATGGTGCACCAGGCAAAGGCCAGAAGAGGACAAATGTGGACCTCGAAGAAGAGGACAACAGGTTAGAAAGCTATTTCAACAAAGAGCTTAAAGCATCATTTACAGAGATTAAATTGGTGTGTGTGTGGGTAAAGATAGAAGATCATACTGAGGTTTTTGCTTCTTTTTTCCCAAATCCTTAAGAGGGGAGGTGCTGACTTTGAGGAACATTGAGAAACTGCATAAGAAACCAAAGGCAGACAAGGAAACGCGCCTGGCAACAGCAATGGTAAAACTCTAATGCTATACCTGTAGGGTGATTTGAACTATTCCGATAGTGAGTTACTCATGGATGCTAAAACACTGTGGACTCTGAAAAATAGAATCTGCACACTAGATAATGCCTCTAAAGAAGAGCTTGACCCTCGAACGTCACAGGTGGTAATTAAATATATGTTCATGGGAGCATTATCTAGCGTGAGGAATCTATATTTTTCCGTCTTTTAAAATGTTCTTTTGTGCAGCCTGGAATATTTTCGTCTAGATGTGCGACTTTTGTAACTATTAGCCTGCTGATTATGTTCTTGATGAATCGTTTGGTCTATAAAATGTCAAAACAAAGAAAAACAGAACTATAGTTTTACTAATACTGAACACTAAAAAAAACAGCAAATATTATTTTCTTTGGAGTAATTTTCTGTCGATCAAGAAATTTGTTGATCAACTAGCCATTTCAGCTCTAACGATGTGTTTTTGATTTTTCAAGGCGGGACGGCCCGACCGCAAGGATTTTGTCAAAAAGCATACCAAGCTGAACCCACACGCCGGCACCAGCAACAGGGAGAAGAGGAAGACGAAGAACTTCATGATGATGAGACACAGTCAGAATGTCAGAACAAAAGGCAAACGCTCCTTCAGAGACAAACAGGTAGGTCACACCTGTCAGAAATAGCTGCTGTATTTGACTGTTTTTAATATAAGTGGCATTTGAACTCGAAATATTTTTGATTTGCTCGTCCAGATTGCTCTACGGGATGCGCTCCTGAAAAAGAAGAAGCAGTACAAGTAGGACACACGGACATAATGTTATATTTGCTTCGTGGTGGCCATCGCACGGTGACAGTGACAAATAATATTGAACTTCAAGTAGCTTGCTGGTGAACTGCATACATTTACTCTGCTCTGAAATAAAACATTTTTGGATAATTATTGTGTGACGGTTTCTGTGTGGGTGTAGGTCTCATTGTAATGTTTGGCTTCTCTTACTTCCTTTGGCCTCACACTGATCGCAGTTTGAATTCCAAGAAAATTATGTATTTCAGTAATTTAAAGTAAAATGGTCTGGGTGTTCTTTTTGGACAGTTTTTACCCCCTTTAGAGTTAGATAGTTAGATAAACAAAGTAGCACCATTTATCTGAGAACACAACCTAGTTATCTGTAAATCTTTAACCTTAAACTGCGCATTTTTTGTGCCAAGTCTTTGTTTTAATCTGATCCCATTCAAAGAAAAGTATTAATAGAAAACATACCTTTTTGTTAAGAACTGTTTTAACACTGCTGTGATGATGGTTTCAAGCTAATTGTGATTTTTCAGGACTATATATTTTATGTCTATGGGTGTGGACCCCACAAATTATGTTTTGAGGATATGTATTTTTTCATATTGGAGTATAACATCTGTCCACATTAATGACCTGTTTTCAATATGTGTTTACAGCTGAAATATGCAGATGCTGCACTGACAGTAAATGTAACTCAAATCAGGATCTGACGGTGTTAATGTATAATTTTAGCCAAGATTTGATTGGCCAATATAGTTTTATAATAACTAATTACAGTAACATTTCCCTATTTTGAACATTATGCTGTAGTCTAGTGCCTTATTTTTAACAGGTCAGTGTAATTTACTGGAACACTTCTACAGGAAGGCAGAAGACAAAATAAGAGAAATCATAACTAAAGAATGTGACACTATTTATATCAACTTCGACATTGTTTATCAATAGTTATTGCTTTCGGTAAATAAATCACATAGAGCCCTCTAAGCATTACCGCATACCCTCTGTGTGAAGTTTATTGAAAAATGTGTTACACTTCGATGTTTCACTGATCAGCTTCAGAAACAAAAGACGAGACCATCTTAATTAAAACTGGCAGATTTTCACCGGCATTATGAGCTTCTAGATGGCATTTAATCTTGTTCTTTCAGCTGTTGGTCAGGTAATGTCTTAAAACTACAATACCCATGAGGCACCTGGAATCACAACAAACGTGCCAATGCCAAACATTCCGCTCAATGAAACCGGCATCTTAATTCTCCCTACGACATGAGGTATCTAAATTAAATATGTTTAACTTAACGCAGCGATTATTAAATGTTATTTGTTGCATTTGTACATTTCGTATTTCCGCCATAACTAAATCGGTGTCTTTCCCTGCCAGCTAATGTTAGCTCTCGGATGCGACTCTGCTTGCTAGTTGCTGTTAGCAAACAAGCTAGTGATCTGTTAGCGTTAATCTCGTAACACACTGTTGACGTGTGATTGTGTTTCATGTTTTACATTCGATCTCAACTTTTCTCCACAGTTGTGCCCGATATTACGCACTTATCTGGCTGTGATAAATACAAGTATTTATTTGTATCGTACACCAAAACATTGACACGTGCAAATACTTTTAACGTTAATGGCATCTGTAGAGTAGATGCTAGCTAACGTTTACATTTAACAGCTAACGCTAACTAGCTTGTTGTAAATTATGTGATATTAGCAGTATCGTTATAGCTGCTGTCTTATCCTTCCCTATCTCCATATTCTATTATGCCCTCGAGTAGCTGTTAAAACATCTTGATGACATATATGTGTCACCTTATTGTACATGTGTAGGACTAAAGTTAGTGAGGACTAAAGTTGCACTACATTCAGACTGCATAAACGGAACTGTTTATGTGATATGAAGGTCTTTAAAATGCTTTAAACTATTTTTCCAGCTGACTACATAGCAAGTAGTCCTTGACATGGATCACTCTTTATCACAAGCTGATCTCAACCTCAATCTCCTAAAAGGTGGTGAGGGAAGTATAGTGATCAAGTGTGCAGGAAGAGAGCATATTAGTTGGGTTATTCCTTTCACAATACTCTGATCGAAGGCCAACCCATGGAAACACAGCATAGTGTAGTTCCTGTGTGCCTTTAAAACACTCGTCTCTTGTGTACCTTTCTACCAAATGTGGTCCCTTCTGTATGCAGATGGCAGATGCATAAAAAACAGGTATGAATATAAAAAGAGGTTGCTGTCGGCACATACTGTTTTTCCCGTTTTGTACTCAGTGGAGTTGAGTTGTGCGATACATCTGTCGTTAAATTATTGACACTCTCGCTCCTCATAAATTATACAACAGACGATGTTATCATCTTAAGGCCATGAAAGTGTTCCCGAATCTGCCTTTGCAATATTCCCTCAATTCGAAGTCCCCCACATGTGGTTTTCAAAGATGAAGCATACCCACAAGTGTAATAGAACAGAAGTGGGGGGAGAGAGAGCCTTTGATCTCTAGATGTTTCTGCTGGTATAGCTGAGAGGACTAGTGATGAGGGGCGATACACTGAGTCTATTCAGCTTCAGAGACATAAAGCTTAATAGAGAGACAGTACATCATCTGTAAGGTGTGGGTGGAGCTTTGGACTCTGGCTGTCTGCTCTCAGTATTTCTGTGACATAAACACTGTGGACATTTTTCATCTGATTCAGCAATAGGTAGGAATTTGCATGGGTTTTTGATTGCACAGTATTCTCTGCATGGTGTGTCACGTTAGCTCGGAGGAATGTGCCTGTCCTGTTATGTCTCTCCGGTCTCTGCTAAATGAGTAAAGGGGAAGTGACGCTGAGGGGGGGGGATTACTGACCAAACTTGTTCAGCTGGAAAGCAGTGTCCTCCACCACTAATGTCCCTTTTTGTTTCCTCCATTGAAGCCTGTAGAATGTTATTTGCACTGAGTTGGGGTTTCATTTAAATTGCAAGTTATTCTTGCATGGCACAGTCAATGGTGGTGAAAATCTGGCCTGCTTATTGATCGGGATGGGCGACAATACCCATCAATATCAAATCAACAAAGATACAAATCTTTACAGCTGAGGTGCTCAAACCAGGGAATGACATGATGAATTTAATAGTTGTTGCTGATTATTTCCTCTCAATTCTACTGATTGAATCATTGATTGAGTGATTCTTTCTGTCAAACCCTCGTCTCTCTTCTAGGTGTTGTTACCTGTAGCCAGCTATGGCACCAGGGGATATGGTGCAAGACCACGCCAAGCAGCTGAAGCCCAAGGACAAGCGGCCTGTGACCAGGACATCGAAAGCAGATTGTGAGCCCGACGGGTCCTTTGTCTTTGAGGCTCATGAGGCTTGGAAGGACTTCCACAACTCCCTCAGGCATTTCTATGAAGTAGGAGAGCTCTGCGACGTCACGCTGAAGGTGGGTCACTCGGTGAGGGCTCGAGGGAAGAGCGAGATTTGTTCGTCTTCTATTTATATTTCAGCTGATCTTTGTTTTCCGTATAATCAGGTGAAAGGCTGTGATTTCACAAAGAATATTTTATAGATGTGAGCGTAATTAATCTAAATTTAAGTTGAGTGTTGTTGTTTTTTGTTTTACTTTGAATCCCTAAATATTTGCTGTAATCACAGTCGTACTGTGGAGATTAATAAACGGTGAGATTATTAATGCTGTATACAGGTGGGTCTTGTTTCCTGTTTTGTTTTTTTTAAACATGTCTCTTTTTGTAGGTTGGCAGTAGGATGATACCATGCCACAAGCTAGTGCTGGCTTGTGTTATCCCTTACTTCAGGTATGTTACATTTTATGTTTTATTTTTTTGACTTGGCCTATAACTGCATTCTTCACTACAGCACGGACCAAGAGTTTTTTCTTACTAGTGGACATTCAATCTGCACAATGATTCAAGTCAGCGATTCTGACAAAAAAAAAAGACAATTTCCTTTTTATAAACTAAAATGTAATGCTTGTGACAGCCCTAATGGATTGTCATCAGGTACAGCATTAACACACTTGTTGTCTATGTGGCTATTTCTTCCTCAGGGCCATGTTCCTCTCAGAGATGTCCGAGGCCAAGCAGGAACTGATCGAGATCAAGGACTTTGATGGCGATGCCATCCAGGACCTGGTGCATTTTGCCTACTCCTCCAAGCTCACGTTAACTGTGGACAATGTCCAGCCCCTGCTTTATGCTGCCTGCATCCTTCAGGTAAAGAAATGCACGTTATCTTACATAAAGGGTTCTCCATTGAAAGGTTAAGCGTGATAATGCTTCCCTTTTTAAGCAATTCACTTCTTTATTTACTTCATTACTGCTTGAATCTTATCAGGTGGAGCTGGTAGCGAGAGCCTGTTGTGAGTACATGAAGGCCCACTTTCACCCCACCAACTGCCTGGCGGTACGCACCTTCGCTGAGAGCCACAATCGCGTGGACCTGATGGACATGGCCGACCGCTATGCCTGCGAACACTTCACTGAGGTGGTGGACTGTGAGGACTTTACTTCCGTGTCTCCCCAGCACTTGCGCACATTGTTGTCCTCTGGCGAGCTCAACATCCATTCAGAGACACAGGTGTACAATGCAGCGGTGAAATGGCTGAAGGCAAACCCACAGCACCACGAGGCCTGGCTGGACCAGATCATGTCTCAGGTTAGAGAGTTCACAGCTTAAAGGTACCGCAGGGTGTGTGGGTTAGCTTACGTACGTTAGTGCTGCATCTTCCTGAATTCAAAAGTTTGTTGTGTTTGGAAGTACCTCTAGACTTTACCACCTAGTTTACTGATTGCCTGAAGGTAACGCTACATCACTGTGTAAAATGTGTGTTACATGTGTGTTACATATGCGTTCACAGCTTTACGTAATCACGTTTACAACCACAATACAATGTCTGGTCTCTCCTTCAGGTGCGCCTCCCCCTGCTCCCGGTAGAGTTCCTGACTGGAACGGTGGCGAAGGACGAGATGGTTAAAGGTAACCTCAGTTGTCGCGACCTGATGGACGAAGCCAGGAACTACCACCTGCACTTCAGCAACAAGGTGGTGCTGGACTTTGAGTATTCAGTTCGTACCATACCCCGGAAACACACTGCAGGTAGTACTTATATGGTTTGGCTTTAAAAACATATAACAACAGATTTTATGGCATTTGCACTTTTTTTTTAGCACCCCAGAAACACACAGCTACATGCATGAAACCAAATGCTTTTCTTAGTGTTAATGTGTTGTAACAGCTACAGGCTTAGTCTTAACTTAATTAGATTTACAATAATATAAAAAACTTCTCATTTACAGAAAGGTTGTCGTATTTTCTTTGTATATTTTTCCATAAAATGTTTATTCTGAGGTTCTTTGTGCTTAAAGTATGAAAGCCAACGCTTTGTTCTCTCCGACCATTTTCCCTCAGGGGTTTTGTTCTGTGTGGGTGGCCGGGGGGGTTCTGGTGACCCGTTTCGCAGCATCGAGTGTTACTCCATCACTAAGAACAGCTGGTTCTTTGGTCCTGAAATGAACAGCAGACGGCGTCACGTGGGAGTAATATCTGTAGGAGGTGAGACGGGTTACTGGTTTATATAATTAACTCCAGAAAGTGAGAGAGGCGGCATAGAAAGTTGAAGTTGCAACTCAGTTTATATAATATATACGTTTTATACAAATACAATAATATTTCCTGGTCAGGTCACGTGATCATAAAGACTCTCGTTCATATCTGTTTGATGTTGCTTTTCTTTAGGCAAGGTTTATGCTGTTGGCGGCCATGACGGTAGCGAACACTTGGGCAACATGGAGATGTTTGACCCCCTCACCAACAAGTGGATGATGAAAGCCTCCATGAACACCAAGAGGTACACAGACACTACAATATGCTCAATCAATCATATTGTCTTTAAATTTAGATGTAGTTATTTCCTGTTGTCTTAGTAAACGGACATGATGTGTGTTTCTCAGGAGGGGCATAGCCCTGGCCGCTCTTGGTGGTCCTATCTACGCCATCGGAGGTCTGGATGACAACTCCTGCTTCAACGATGTTGAGCGCTACGACATCGAAAGTGACTGCTGGAGCGCCGTGGCTCCGATGAACACTCCCAGAGGAGGAGTGGGGTCCGTTGCGTTGGGGGTAAGACTTCAAACGAAGGCCCATCAGTTGTGACTGATTTTATGTGATATCTATTCTGGACTTTACAGCTTTTATACCCGCTTCTTTGCCAGAGTTTCATGTACGCAGTGGGAGGCAACGATGGCGTGGCGTCCCTGTCCAGTGTGGAGCGGTTTAACCCGCACCTCAACAAGTGGACGGAGATCAGCGAGATGGGCCAGCGACGGGCTGGGAATGGAGTCAGCAAGCTCAACGGCTGCCTCTATGTAGTGGGTGAGAGGAATACATTCATCTCTTCAGATCGGATCACATGGGTTGCCAGGTACTGTTGGTACCAGATACTGATGTAGGCAAGATGTATTTTGTCTGTGACTGGAATTACTCATTTTGACAACCCGGGTCACATGCCTCCCTGACACACACACACACACACACCCTACGACTTTATACACAAATGTGTGAATCAGGAAAGGTGAAAGTTCATGTTTTGTAAAGCCATCTGGTAACTGATTAACAGCGTGAGGTTTTTATTGTACCACTGGAATTTGAAGAGTCATTCAAGGTTCATTAAAACGGGGCATTTTGCCAGGTCAGTAGCTGTGGCTCAGTATAGATACATGAAATCCTCTTCTCTTCAGTCTGCTCCATCAGCAACAACAGAATCATCCTCAGAGTGTTAGCGGTTAACACCTGGGCTATTGTAGTAAAATCATACATGCCAGTTTCCTGTATCACCCTTCAGCCGAGATACATTTCTTGTGATTTTTTTATTTTTTATTTTTTTATAATCCTCTCTCTCATTTTTCCTAAAGGCGGCTTTGATGACAATTCACCCCTGAGCTCCGTGGAGCGCTTTGACCCTCGAATGCACCGCTGGGAGTACGTGTCTGAGCTCACCACCCCGCGCGGGGGAGTCGGGGTGGCCACTGTAATGGGGAGAGTGTTCGCAGTCGGGGGTCACAACGGGAACATCTACCTGAACACAGTGGAGGCTTTTGAGCCTCGGATGAACAGGTGAGGAGGCGATGAATGAAGACTGTTTGCGATGTGTTTCTCAGGTATCGAGGATCCAATACCCCTAAAAACCCATCAGGATAAACTGTAGGGGGTTCCATGCATCAAGTCAGTGTGTCCAATAATTTAAAAGCTGCTGTATTGTTTAGGACTGTTAGAATGTCGTCTCATTATTATTTCGTTGTGCTTTTTGTTTGCTGTTCAGATGGGAGCTGGTGGGTTCGGTGTCTCACTGCCGGGCGGGAGCCGGAGTCGCCGTCTGCTCGTCTCACGTCAGCCAAATCAGAGACGTCGGCCAGGGCTCCAGCAACGTGGCCAACTGCATGTGACCGCCGCTCCACTTGTTCCCAGGTGACTGACTGCCAAGTCACCGTCCGGTCCGATCACTGCACGAGCACACACACATACACACAGCGAAGGAGGGATTTGGTCACTGTCTGAACATCAGCCTCAGTCAGTTTGTGGCTGATATGCGGTTTGCACACAGTGATCGAATAATGGTAGCGAGGTTCTGCTGACTTGAAGTGCACAACGGACACATCTGAAGTCTTCTCTGACACGACGACACACGTTCGAGACATTTCTCTTGACTCCTGCTGGTGTTTCTTTGCAATCAGTGACGTCTGTTCTTTGTACTGTATTTTTCTTTTGTTTGACTGCATTGACATAGTTTTGCCTTTTTTGTTAGGCAACATCACAGCTGAGCCTTTTAGTATTTGATACTAACGTCTCGGAACGAGAGGTGAGTTTTGGTCAACGGCGCATTATGAATGTGGACCGTACAGTAGGCCAGTATGAGAGCATTTCAAAGGTCTCTTCTCTGGTCTACTCGTTGGCTCTGCACTTCTTTTCCACAGAGATGTTTAAAATCACTAGATTTAACCCATTCTTTGCAGTGCAGCGTATGCAGTTAAAATGTTAACATTTTCATCAGTCAATCTGAAATCCAATGTTAAGATGTCAAATACGTTTCTAGGATTCCTGTGATCTTTTGCCACGATACGTGAGAACATCTGTTCGAGCAGTTAAGACTTTTTAAAAGGTGCGTTTCAGGATTATTCTATCAGCAGTTCCAGCTGCTGTAAGCTGGATCATATTGCAGCAGCTTTAGCCTGTAATTGTGTTTGAACAATCATTCAAGGTTAATTGGGACAAGTCATTCACTGGGTAGGACGTGACGGGTTCAAGGAATTGAACTGCTGCAAGTGCCAAACGAAAAGAAAAAAAAGAGAGTCAGCCGCTCTAGGAAGCTGTAGATGCACATCTGGTTCAACGCCCGCTGAATCCCGAGTGGCCTCAGAGTAGAGGACAGTTTGATGACTTTATACCTGAGAGTTGAGGACTGATCAGAGCAATACGGTGCACCGCTCAAGGTCTTTTTCAGTTGTGTTGTACAGAGATATGTTCAAACTGACGGGGACAGATATTCAATTTGAAGATTTGTGTTTGACGATAGCTGGACTGTCAGAAATCCTAATCGGAGTGCTTTTGGATGTGTATGAGATGCAGCTGAGGTTTGTCTCCGCAGATGGTTGCGTTTATATATTTTAATATATGGATATTTTGTACAATAAAATGGGTGTATCTTTGGTATTATCCTTTACTACACTGTCTAATCCATTGCTGTGCACTATTTTCATAGAATAGATGTGAAGTCTGAGTATATTTTTGTCCTAAATGGAGAATTTTACGTTATGAGTTAAAAGATGTTTATTTAACACACTTGCCGATTTCTGCCATTTCTATGAAAAATTTAATAATTTCTGGCAAGTGTTCTTCTCCTAATAGGAAATAGGTTGACAGAGTGATGACTTTAATACTGAAATGCTATATATGGTTATAATAGAAATAAACATATTATTGGACAGTTTGTGTACTGGCAATCATAATTTTGGTGCATATTATTAACCTGGTACATAATTTTTACTCTAAAACCCGAAGAAAAAAAAACTTTGTTAGCCAATGAGCCAGAAACTTCTTTTCTAAGTCTTTTGTAAATTTGACTGTACTTTGTTGTTCTTTCTCCTCCTGACTGCTTCCATCCTGTGTTTTTGTTTACCTGGTATTGGTATAAATTGGTACAATAAAGTTATGTGTAAAGTTTAATAGTGGGATTTCTCTTTTTTTTTTCCGGTAACAAATTTTGTCTCCGTCAGGACCGACTCTAAACTCGGTCTAAACCGGTCCCAACCGGTCCCAACAAGCCCTTCAGCTATCAAGTTTGTTGTAATTCTCTCACTTGTGAAAAGTCTCCATCAACGTGCACATCAGGTCTAAACTAAAGAGTATATTTCTCCGATACTTCAGGAGATTCTGATGAGTCTGCTGAGCAATAAAACGCGTTAATGAGAATTTAATATCAAATTTGCATTTATTGTTTTATAACATCTTGTCAAACCCAGTTAAAAAGTAACCGTGTGAGGCAGAGGTTTGGCAGTATAACGTTTATGGTGCGGTTGTTGTACACCGTCTTCTGGACTTTGTGTGTCAAATGTGATGTGCACACTAAACTATAATCAACACGTCTTTAAGGTTTTTATAGACGCCTGAAGCTCCTGTTGCACAACTTGTTTACATCCCACAGACAGTTTATGTTGAAGAAACTAATTGTGTGTTTGTATTGATGTTGTTTTGTACTGTGTGATATGACTTCTTTGGGCCTTGAGCTCACAGAATTTCTACCATTTTCAACAATTATTATTTTATTTATTTGAGAGAAGGCACAGTGCAAATCAACCAAAACACATGGTAGAAACAAAATGCCAGAATTAGCCGAAAGGCTATTTTTCATCTGTTGTCGCCGGCGAAGGTGTTAAAAAAAAATAGACTTCCTTAAATACATCAAAACAGAAACAGGGTGTGCAGGTTAAGGTTAGAAAAGGACACAGTTGTTAAAAGCAGTAGTGACATATATACATATGTATTTTATATTTGGTTACTGAAAGATCTATAAGTGTTTTACTACACCCTCTTGAACCACAATTTAACATATTCTGTTAGATCCCCCCCCCCAAAATTAATTAATTGTGCATTGATGGAAGTGCTTTGATTATTTATTTTATCTAGTGCATTGAGTGCTTGTTTGGATGGAGGCTCGAGTGGTTTCAGCCCACCGTTGTTGGCCTGTGACCAGCTTGTTAAACTGTAGTTCAGATGAGTGAATATCATAGAATGTGGAAACATCTCAGCAGCCTCTACAGACATGTGGCTTCTAGTGAATCACACATTTGCAACATTGAACTGGTTTGTTTTTTTAAAACTTTCAACTTAAAGGAGAGGTTGGAGTCGCACACAAAATGTCCTTTTAATCTCTTGGTTACGTAAGTCAATTGTTTTTCTAAAACACATTCAGTCTATTGACTCGAGGTGTTTTACATTAAAATGCATTTTGCAAAAAAATGACATGCCTATGAAAATAATTGTTGTTTTTTAACCTTTTTCTATTGTCAAATTCATGTTTGTTATTATGAATTGCTAATTTTGGTGATATAAAATTCTAATGTTTTATTTGCACACTGTGGTATCAAAATAGCCCGCTTTGTTTTTAGCCATTTAACTTGTGTTTGGTGGCAAACTGCAGCAGATTGTAAAGTAGAAAATGAGTCAAGAGATCAAATGTCTGTCATCTGTGTTTTACTGCTTTCAGTCTTTGGACCCTGGCTGGATGCTGAAAAGAGGTGAACCAGAGAGATGATGCTCAGAGGTCTGATGACTGGCAGCTAGAGCACATCTTGCACACTCCTGCAAAGGTTCAGGAGAGTTTGGAGAAAAACGTAAAGCTGTTAGGGATGCGTAGAAACACAGCTTGAGGGGTGAACATAGAAAAGTGAAAATGGACGGAACACAAAGAATGTTCCTGCAGCTGCTCAGCTTCGCTGCTCTTCTTGCTTGTGGTAAGTCTCTTCTTCATTTCATTTGTCAAGATATGAACCTGAGAGCACCGGTTTTAGTTTTTGGAATAAAGATATAAAGGGAAGACAAAATAAAAACAAAGTGTGTCAACAAAGAAAAAACATGAAATATTACCTGAAAGTTGTGCTTTTAATATGTTGTGAGGCAGCTGTTGGCGACATCGATTTAATGACTTGTGCTTTGTGCTGTTTATTTCAAGAAATTATTTTGAAAGTGCGTGCAGCTCCTACATGAAAATTTGTTTTGGCATACAAATACCATTTACAACAAATAAACAATAGATTATACGTGAGACTTCTCAACCGTAGTGCTTATTAGTTCTTTGTTGTTTAACAATTTACTTTCTGTCATTTTGAATAAGATTAACTACTAAACATGTGAAGAAAAGCTCTCTAGACACTTGTTTCCTTTACTACCAATTGTCTTAGATTATTTAAATTGCAGACCATAATATATTCAGTGTTCTGAAGCATTCGTATCAGTGGTCCATCCAAGCGGATGAGTGTTCTAGTTTAGTCCTTAAGGCACTGATGTTTGGTTTTTCTTAAGGATCACTGATTGGCAGCACGTTGTTTTCAGATGGAGAGTCAATTGTGAAGAAGTTCAACTTTGCATCTTGTGGTCTTTCAACTCATTCCAGATGCGTGCAAATCATGTGATTCTATAGCGTCCTGCTGAAGTTGTTAAAGTCAAACATTATCCAAAAAGATTTGTGTGAGAGTGGAGCGACATGGCTGGACTGTGGATCTGTCATGGGACTTTTATGATTGATGGCCATTCAAATGATTCACCAGCTTGTGACATTTCACATCAACTTTTTTACAAATGAAACATGAAAAGTAATCAAAGTATTTACATTTTAATTTGTTTTAAATTGACCATTACACTTTAATCTTAGTGTCTCATTGAGAATTGTGGTGGTAGTAGGTGAGTAGAGTAGTATTTTTGATGTGCTGCCTCTCATATGTGTGGTTTTTATTCAATATATCATGTTTTTCGAGAAATATGTGCACACTAACAGTATGTTGTATTGCTGCGTTTACAGCCCAGAGCCAGTGTCAGCAAGGCTGGAGGGAGTATGAGAATAAATGTTACTTCTTTTCAACTGATTCAAAGTCATGGCTGGAGGCAAACGCCTTTTGTTTGGAGCAGAACTCCAACCTGATGAGCATTCTGGACATTCAAGAGAGGGTGAGACGACACGCACACGACGAGGCCACCGGAAAACAAAATTTGATGAAACATTTCACGCACCGGGTTAATTCATTTTTATGTGTCCTTTCCAGTTGTGGGTAAGGACACAGATTGGCGAAATGATCTACTGGATAGGCCTGAATGACAAAGGCTCAGAGGGAGTCTACGAGTGGAGTGATGGGAGCCCTTTCATAGAATACATATCGTATGTAATTCTGTTCCAGTGTAGAAAAAGCTTTTAGTTCTTTAATATGTAAATGAAAAAAAACACTTAAAATGTCCACATCCAAATGATCTCTCTCCTGTTTCAGATACTGGATGGCAGGCCAGCCTGATAACTGGGGCGATGAACCCGGGGAGGACTGTGGTCAGGTGATAGGATCAAACTTTGGACAGTGGAATGACGAGAACTGCACCATTGAGAGGAGATATATCTGCAAGCACAACAACCGTAAGTCCACAATATTTTTTTTTATTATTTTCATGTAAAGTTTACCAAACCTCAATAAGAAGTTTGCTCAGATCAGATACTGGATCATGAGGGGCTAACACATCTTCTCTTTTCTGCTCTTTAGCAAATCCTGGCCCACAGTGTGACTTAGCAAGCGGCTGGAGACAGTTCATTTCCAACTGCTACAAGCTGAAAGCAGATACCAGGAAGAACTGGGCGGCAGCGAGACATGACTGTGTGCAGGAAGGAGGAGACCTGGCATCCATTATCTCAGCAGAAGAGGAGCAGTTTGTCACAGGAACAATGGACGCATCATGGATTGACCTCTGGATTGGGCTTTCCACACTGGTGAGAGGAACATAGTGTTTTTTTATTGTGTAAAATTGTATATGAATATTAAGTACAACCGTGTGAAGATGAGCTTTCTTCCTCCAGAAATGCAACAAGATTTCCTGTCAAGTTGAAGCAGGAAGCGATGTGTACACCTGGTCTGATGCTCTCCCTCTGGGGACTTACATAAACTGGGCTGACGGTGAACCGACGGGGTAAGATATCATATTGTTAGGGTGTCATTTAAATATTATAAAGTATTTATTAGTGTAATCAAAGGTTTAAACACAAGTTCTCCAACAGCGATACACAGGCTGGCGCATGTTCTGCAATCGTCAAAGATTCATCAGGCGAATTTGGGAAATGGAAATCCCATGTGTGCAGATATGAGCGTCCTTACATGTGTAAACGACCACTGAACAGTAAGCTGGATTGTTTTGGAAATATGCAAAGATGATGTCTCTTCATTTCTTTATGAAAGTGCAATAATTCAATAAAGATGCTTTGCTTTTACCGCTAACATTATCCTGCTCCTCCTCTGATACTCGCCTCCAGCCATCTGCCCTGCTGGCTGGCTGAGCTTCGCTGGCAGTTGTTACTGGCCGGTCAGTAATGTCAATCTGTTGACCACCTGGCACGAGGCCCTCACCAAGTGCTCTGATATAGGGGCCCACCTGCTGATTATAAACAGGTAGGAGAGAAGCAAAACTATGTAACTTTTAAAAGAAGAAATAGCACAATCTTCCTCTTACAAAATGAAAAGTTGCATTCTTAAGACATAAAGGCGACTCTGTGTAACACACATAAAGTGCTGTTAAAGAAGAAACAAGCTGACAACTCAACGTTGACATATTATTGCCGTATGAAGTTTTAGCCAGTTGCCTATTAACACATCAAGCAGACACAAAACAATGAGATAAATGTCCAGTATTCACTGTCTTAGCTCTGTTTTCCTGAGAGAAATATCTGTCTCTTAAGTTGCTAAATGCTCGACTAAGTTCACCAACAAACTTTGTTGGCCGTTTGTTGCTGAGTAGGCAGCATACAGAAGGTTTATCAGAGCTTTTTCATTTAAAACAGCTGCCTGCTGTGGGCAGGAAACCAAAACAACGGGCTAAAAAAAGACAAAAAAGCTGAGTAGCTGATCGGGAGAACAGTAGAAATCTTACCTTGTCTGTCTTTTGTGTCCTGTTCCTCGTGTGCAGTAAAGAGGAACAGTTCTTCATAAACGGAAAACTTCCAGACTTTCACCAAGTGGACATTCCTGACATCTGGATCGGTTTATCAGGTACTGTACACACAAACAAATCTAATGGTGCTATTTGTAAAACTCTTTTGTTGTCTTTGCGATAAATGTGATTTGTGAAATTGCCCTTTTCATTTGTTTGTGATGTCACCAGATAAGGACCAGGACGGGGATTTCAAATGGGTGGATAAAACAGCGATAACCTTTTCCAACTATGGTCCTGGTTGGCCCAAAAACACTGCCGGCACCTGGGACTGTGGACAAATCTACACAGGTAGAATTAGCACTCTCCACTCTAGCCCGAAATACATTTGACACGTTTTCAGCTGAGGCTGGCATTGCCGGACCAACATCAGTTTATTCTCTCTTCCAGGAAAATATGAAGGAAAATGGGAAACAACCAACTGCTTCAAGAGCCTGGGTTACATTTGTGAGATGACAGGTGGACAGAACATCAAACCTACTTCAGCTCCCGGTTAGTCAGACGTCATGTTTCCTCTCTTCACATACCATCTAGCTGAAGATATGTTGATAACTGTTGCATGTTTTTTTTGTTTCAGAGTCCCACTGTGACCCTGGGTATTTGTTGTACGGGGACTTCTGCTATCATTTTCAGAGTGAGTCGGTGAAAAACTGGCATGACGCCGAGGCTCACTGTAGCAGAGAGCAGGGTCACCTTGCCAGCTTCCACTCAGAGGCAGAGCTCAGTTTCTTAACTGGTGAGCAGCTAAGAAAGCAGTTCATCCCATAATCCTGAAATATTACATCAAGAAATGATATGAACGCTGTGAATAGAAATATGTTGTTTGAAATTAAAATGAGCTTGATGTGTTCTTGTCTTTTATCTTCAGCTCACATGCCAGGGGAGTCCTGGGTGGGTTTGAATGATATCAATGTTGAAAACCACTTTGTATACACGGATGGAACTCCTTCAGTAAGTGACAAAACTCATGAACATATTGTGTGAAGCACGTCACTGTAATATGATATCATTTAGACCCTAAGCAATGAAATAATCATGATCCCCAGCATTTGGAAATCATGGGATCCTTCTTGTGAGGAGCTTTGTGTGTCCTGTTTCATCATGACTGGGGTTCTTTTCTTTGGATCTCAGGACCCCCCCCTCCCATGGGCGCCCAGCCAGCCAGACAACTGGGAGGGTGACGAGGACTGTGCGCACCTCAGAGGGATGACTCACCCTGAGCACCCTGGGAAACTCAATGATGATTTCTGCACCTCCACAAGGGATTATATCTGCAAAAAAGGTGTGATGCACTGTGCCTTTTATTTAAGTGTCTCTTGTGTTGTAAACAGACTGTATTTTATAGTTCTTGTATGTCTTGTCTCTCCGTAGCCAAAGGACAAGGACCTCCTCCCCAGCCCCCGACATCTGGACCAGGTTCACTTGATACCCCATTGATCAGTGCACTTCACGCATGCTCTGAAACTGATGATGTGTTTATCTTGACATGTGCATATGTGTACTGTTGTGTCACAGGGTGGAATGAGAAATGCGGCTCTTGGATGTCTGACCCCTTTAACGACTACTGCTACCTGTTTAACTACCTGTCGATGAGGCCATGGGCAGAGGCTCGAGCCGACTGTGTGAACCAGGGAGGAGACCTCATCAGTATCACCGATCCCTTCGAACAGGCCTTCATACAAGGTATGACTTTTACATCTTTACTCCAATATTCTGACATGGGATTTCTCTTTTTCTTCTTTTTTTATCCCAATTTAAATTATTTCTATTATTGTTGCCTTAGTCCTGCTTATTCATTTCAAGTTTTTGTGTTTGTCCCAAAATTCATTGAGTATTGGATGCATAACAGTAGACTTGAATATACCACGTAAGTATGTTGAAGCTCCTTGTACCAGTTATGTGCTGGCTATTTTTATTTCCCAAAATATTTGTACTTAATGCAGTGACCCCCAATAATCTGTTGTACTCTAGATACCTAAAGTACAATATATACTGTTGAGTTTAACATCCTAGCAATAAACCAAACTTTAATATTTAAAATTTTGTGGTTGCTTTAAAGTCACTGCTGTCGAATGTTTGTGTGACTGCAGCATTTTTTTAATTATTCTCATGGTTTATATAAATAGTGAGTCTTTTCTGTATTATCTTTTTATTGTAGTGGTTTATTTGATGCTTTGCTTTGTTAGTGGGGCCGTAAATTGTTGTCGGAGCCTCCCAGTAAGGTATTTTATCCTGGAGGGACCGTTAAACAGAGTGCTGCTGCTTGCCACCAGCCCGCTGCTTGACTCATTTTCTGTAACCTGTGTAGCATTAAAGCATGGTGGAATTAACAAGACGACAAAAGACATTTTTCAAATTCTACTCATAGTGCCTTTAAACAGTAACTTAACACCTGCTGAAGATCTTCTTTCCGCTGATCTACAGTGGTTTAACCTCTCACTTTGCTGCAGTGATGTACAGGTGTACTCCAGGACACAGTGACATCACTGTTGGTTGTGGTTACAGGTGCAATAAAGCCCACTTCTGACCACACCCAGGAGGTGAAACAGGCTTTAAAACGTCTTCCACACCAACCCTTTTCTGGTAGAAAGAAACTTTAGTTGGATCTATTACTAAGCTTGACTCACCCTAATTAGTTTTTGTTGTGGTTTTCTCTCAGGTGTGATCCAGTTGAGTCCCACAGGTATCTCTCTGTGGATGGGCGGCCATGACTCCGTCACTGAGGGCGGTTGGGAGTGGACAGATGGTGCTCCTTTCAGATACATTCACTGGAATGCAGGTTAATTTGAAGCCAAATACATTCTGCTCAATTTCTGTATGAAACAAAACGTATGAGGATTATTGTCTTGCAAAAAAAAAAAAAAAAAGACAACTGAATTCCCTTTCTTCACAGGTAACCCAGACAACTATAACGGTGAAGACTGCCTGTCTATACTAATTAACAACGGCTACTGGAATGACGACAACTGTCTGAACAAAAGAGGATATGTCTGCAAACGGAAAGGTGAGATATGTTGCTGTAATTGTTGTTGTTGACACTTGCAAACAGATATTTAGGGTGTTGATACACGTCTGTAACGCTGTACTCACGTTTCCTTTCAGGAAACACACCTGAGCCTCCTCCACCTCATGATGGTAACAATACCTCTGGATCAGTCAACAAAAAAATACGCTTTGATCAGCAAATAACATTTAAAACAGCAATGAATTTGTCATCATGCAAAAACTTTGTATTCTTCCTGCTGCAGGTTTCATGACGGCGCTGGTGTGCCAGGACTCCTCTGCTGTCCTTCACTGTCCGCCCGAAAGTGTAATTAACATCCAGTCGGCTTTCTATGGACGAAAGAGTGATACGGTCTGTCCACACTTGGGTGGATCAGAAGGTGGGGGCTGCTGTGCAATAGCCACTCTGTCAATGTGTAGAGATGCTTTCTGACTGGTTGTTTTTCTGTAAATCATATCAAATTGAAAAGTAAACATTGATCTATGTTTAACCAAAAGGTAATGTGTGTTCTGTAGGAAGCTGCACTGTGCAAGGTATCCTTCCTGGCTATAGAAAGCGGTGTGACAACCATCCCTACTGCTTTGCGTACGCCCATACGGAAGTGGACCCCTGTCCCACAATCTCCAAGTACCTTGAGATCGTCTACAGCTGTGAACAAAAAGGTGGGCGTTTCCTTTTCTTTGATTCATTAAAGTAGTTTAAAATCCAACCTCCATGTCTCCTGGAGTATCAAAAATATTCCCCTGAATTTGTTACAATCACAGCTGAATGCTAATGTGTTGGCTGCTCGCAGTGTGTCTGCACGGCCTGGGAGTCGAGGACAGGAATATCACGGACACTCAGCTCGCCGCTTCTTCCTCCATTGGTGCCTTCACTCCCAACAAAGCCCGTTTGAATGGAAATTCCTGCTGGATGCCTTCAGGAATCCGTACGTACCAACCCGGCGGTCACACGTATGAAATCATATTTGAATAGATGGTTAAAGGTGAAGACTGGGTTTCATCTCTATTTGATTAGTCTCATACTATATCTAATGTACTTTCCTCCAGCAACCTCAAGCTGGATCCAGGTAAACCTTGGCCAGACCAGAAAAGTAACAGGAATAGTAATCCAGGGTTGTCCTCAAAACGAATACTGGCTTACCAAATTCAAGATCCAGCACAGTATGGACGGAACGAGCTGGACTGACTACACTGCTGACGGGCAGGTGAGTAAACACAGACCTGACAAACTTGAACATGACAGAGAAGTCCAGAGACTTCCCGGTTCAAACGCAAACTGTGAAGACGGGGAACAGGTAGTTATTTTTTATTTCCATCATTTCCAGTTTTTCCAAGGCTCAACAGACAGAAACAGTCCTGTAACTCAGCTGCTGGGGACACCCGTGTCAACTCAGTACGTCCGCATCCTCCCAGTGGAGTTCAGTGGTCAGGCAGGCCTTCGCTTGGACGTGTTAGGATGCACACCGGACTGTAAGAAAACCACTTTACTAGTGTTACAAGTCTACATCCAAATTCCCCCAAAAATATGTTTTATCATCGATCTACTGTGATATCGTCACAAATAAACACTGATGGTCAATAATTCCAAAATTGCGGTTTTAACAGATGCTATCGCATGCGGCAATGAACCCAACTTCAACTTTGCCAACGATAAAATGACGTGAGTGAAACCTGCAATAACATTTTTAAACGGAGTGATGTTCTGCATATTATATGTCGCATTTGTATTCTGTGGGATAACATAATGTTTTGTGATATTTCCATTCGTCATACACACAGAAGCAACTGATTCTCATGTGTCTTTCAGTGTCCATTGTCCATCACATTGTGCCAATGCTTATCACAGAGTGTACGGCACGTCAGTATATCGTGGGGTATGTGAGCGTTTTGTCATATCTGTAGCACAAGTTCTCTAAACTGTTGAGGAAGTATAAATATATACTTCTATCTCTGCTCTGTCTCCTCTAACAGGACTCGAACATCTGTGCTGCAGCTATCCATGCTGGAGTGATATTAAATGATGTTGGAGGAGACTGTACTTTGTTGAAAGTGGCGGGACAGGACTTCTATCCCGGCTCCACCAGGAACGGCATCACCTCATTTCAGTAAGTAGCCGAGTTTCAAACCAAGTCCTTATTCTTTGTGCGGTGCAGTCCTGGGAGGCAAATTCAACAACACGATTATTTTCCTACAGATATGATGGAAACTATGCTGTGTCTTACACTTTTGCAGATGGGGGTGAGTTGAGATGCATTTACAATCCCTTAATTCTCTTTCCTCTGAGCAGACACTGTTTTATAAAGGAAAAAGTAAACACTGTGTGTGTTTTTGTGTATTTTTCAATACATGGTTGATTGCACTGATTCTAACTTCTGTGGTACAGAGCTGAGGTGTTCAGGGCCTGACTGGTATGAGTTTGGAGAGTTCTGCTACAAACCTTTTGGAGACAAAAAGACGTGGCATGATGCCCAGGACACTTGCAGGACTCTGGGTGCTGAACTCGTATCCATCCTCTCGATGACGGAGCAGAGCTGGCTGGAAAGCTACCTGTACATGGGTATGTATCTAGGAAAATAGGTGGTGAAAGCTAGTTTAATGATAAAAAAAAAGTGATCTCTTATCCATTCCCACATAAAACATTTAAGGGTATTGATTTCATTTTGACACAGTCAGCTTGTGGCCTTTGGTAGGCTGCCCAGAGAGAGAAAAGAAAAAAGAAAGCGAATTGATTTTTCTTTTCCGGGTTGTCTTTTACAGCCACCACTGACGTGTGGACTGGTCTGAATGACCTGTTTGTGACTGGTATGTTCACCTGGTCTGACGAGCACATAGTGACCTTCACTTACTGGGCTCCAGGGGAGCCCAACAACCACGATGGCTTCGCTGAAGACTGTGTTGAGATGTTACACCAGGTGAGAAGGATGGAAAAATAGTCTCACAAATAGTCTCACACACACACCAGTATCACACATTTTATACTTCAAATACAAAGCCAAAATTCGACCAAAGTGTATCCTTATTAATTTTTTCATTGTTCATTGTTCATTCAATCTGTTTCAGACTGGACGATGGAACGACGTGTCCTGCACCGAGCTCAATACCTACATGTGCAAAATGCCCAAAGATCATTATCCAGTGCCCTCTGTGAAACCCACTGTGTACGGATGCCCTCAGGTAGGACACACTCTAACCATATGCTTTATTTCTTCAGTTCTTTTTTCTGAAGTTATGATGCTTGTTGAACGAGAGCAAACAGTCTATGTTTTGTAACGAGACTGTGATATGTGTCAGGGCTGGGATGCATACGGCTACTCCTGCTACTGGATGGAGGAGAGCACCAGGAGCTGGTCGGACGCTAAGGATTTCTGTAAAGAGCAGGACGGCTTCTTGCTGCACCTCGGAGACGTGTGAGTGACAACCTATCTCCCCTCCTTTATTATCCTCGAAAGGAAAAACTCTTACTTTTAAATCATATTGTGTGCAATGATGTATATTGTTCATCTTTTGATTTCATGTTATGTTATTGCTGTTCAGAAAAGCAGGACACATTATTTGTAGGGGCCCAGTTGTATTGATTTAACCCTTGCCCTCACCCTTCTTGTGTGTGTGTGTGTGTGTGAGTGTATGTGTGTGTGTGTGTGTGTGTGTGTGTGTGTGTGTGTGTGTGTGTGTATGTATGAATTTAATGTTATTGTGATGTTGCTCTTCAGGTTCTCTCAGGACAATATTCTTTTGCCAAATATCTGAACTGTGTAGCTTGGAAAGAAAGACCAGATGAATTAATAATGGCAGCAGATTTAGCATCTTCTGTCTTCATAATGCAACGACCTGGTTGGCTAGAGGTTTTGATTCAATTGTCTCTCTGTCGTCTGCCCTGCAGTTATGAGCAGGCACATTTTACAGTGACACTGTCGGGAAAGACCGGTTTGTGGTGGACTGGCCTGCGTGCTCAAGGAGGCTCTAGTGGAGGGGTCGACTACATCTGGGACCAAGGCTCACCCCTCACCTTCACTCACTGGGACAAAGACCAGCCAGGTACAGACCTAACGCTCCCCCTTACATCAGCTGGACAGGATGATACAGTAGAGACGCATTGCAAAACACAACTTGTCCTTTTCCTCTCCAGATAACGGGGATGGTACTTGTGTGGCTATGACAACGGGTGTGATCGGTGGTTTCTGGGATGACAAGCAGTGCTTAGAGGAACACGCCTTCGTCTGTGAAAAATTCAGGCCCGACATCACCCCGCCCACCAAGTCCCCGACTCCTCCGCCTGCACAGGGCTGTGTTACTGGGTGGACAGCACTGCCTCACTTCAGAAACTGTTACCGGGTAAACAAGGAAGCAGATTAAACAGCTAAAACCATGATTCGCCGCGGGGGTCATTAGACCGGTGGTCAATTTTCAAGTACTGATTTATTGGATGATTTATTACAGCTCTTCCACAATGTGGACTGGTCCATGAAGAAAAGCTGGGGAGCAGCACACGAGGACTGTGTCACCAGAAGAGCTGATCTGGTCAGCATCCACAACCAGGAGGAGGAAGAGTTCCTAGCTCTATACAGCAAAGGCACCAGCAAGTGGATCGGCCTCAAGCACAACCCTACAGAAGGAGGTGAGTATAATGTGCGATTCATAGAGTGGACACTGGTGGAAGATAATTGGGACCTCACGATCATTTCAATTCCCGTAGGCTATTCTTGGAGCGATGGCACACCTCTCTCGCACACCAACTGGGGTCCCGGGGAGCCCAACAACCACGAGGGCCGCGAGGAATGTGTAGAGATGGTGAGCAACACCAACGGGACCCACGCGTGGTGGAACGATCTCAACTGTGACGCTCACCAGGACTGGATATGCATGATTGCTAAAGGAAAGAACCCCGTCCTGCCCCCAGTGCCCCCACCTCCACTCCCAGGTAAACTGTTCCCACAATGCACCTGTCCTACCTGCACGAACAAGTTTCTGTTTCCCTAGTGTTTATTTGAGTCTTCCACTTGAATGCTTGATAAGTGTGAAACCTGTGATACAGCATGTCTGGCAATATTTCTGTTGAAAGAGATGTTTAATATCAGTGGGTCTACCAGGTTAAATAAAGGCTACTGTGTGTCTGTTTTTTAGGGAATACCTCATATGTGGTAGGCTTTTTTTTTTTTTTTTTCAAATATAAATAATGAGCAGATCATCTTCATGTTTGTTTTTTCATATCTCAACCCCTCAGCTCCTGATTGTGGTACGAACCCCGGCTGGAGGAAGAACAACAACATCTGCTACTACTACAACGACACCGACATAGTGGACTTCCACACCGCTATGCACCACTGCTACCAGGAAAAGGCCTCACTCGTCTCCATCCACACCAGAGACGAGCAGGCATACGTTAACACCATGGTACGTCTCTGTTTCTCTTCAGCAGAATGTGTTGTAATATGTTCCAGTGAATTATGATTGCGTCACGTTGTACTGCTCTTCCAGGTGGGGACGGGCGAGGTTGCTGCAGCTTGGATTGGAATGGCAATGTTTGGCGTTGCAAGTGGACAATACATGTATGTGTATTTTTAAGTGGTTGGTGCTAGGACAACATCACAGCACTCACATTTAAGTGGAATATTAAGTTCAAGGTGTCTCTGTTTTACCTACACAGGTGGGTGGACTTCTCCCCTGTGACATACACTCACTGGGGTCCGGGTGAGCCCAACAACGCCAATGGGGAGGAGCAGTGTGTTCAGATGAACAGACATCAAGGTATTGAGCTTCCATCCATCTGTTTATTTATCGGGCTGAACTGTTCACTGATCGGACTCCTGTTGGTGACGTTCACGATGAACTTTGGCTGTTTAAGGTGGATGGAATGATGCCAATTGTGGTCGGGCCGGAGCAGGTTACGTCTGTAAGAAGTCCCCTGGAGATAGCCATACTCCTCCTCCACCCACACAGCCCTGGGAGGGCCACTGCCCTGCAGGTAACACACACTCTTAAAACATACTAAATTATATGTGTTCTTTATTTATTAAAACATGCACGATATATGTAGATAAATATGTATGTTGTATTTTAGAGCATAGCCAATCAAAGTGCAGTCATGACTTTTAATCACATTTTTTAATGATGTTTTATGACATATTATATGATGACTTTTTATGTCATTTTTCAACATAATACACTATAACTTTATGGTCATACTATAGTATGAAAATATGCATTTTTTTGCACTCTGACAGACTATGACAATTTTATGAAATTATGAAAATTCTACATTATGATTTTTATTTGACTGTTTTTGTTATTGCATCACTGTGGTTCAGTGCCTTGATTCATCAGGTATTTAATTCCTGGGATTGAAGTCCCGTCCAGAGAGCAAGACACATCAAAATGGGGGGTTTTGTTTGGAGCTTCTTGTCTTTTCTTACCCATTGCTTATTATACATTATGTAATATTATTGCATTAAAAGTACTTTATTTGACATGCACCAATCAAGCTGTAACTGTTAATACAACCTTTAATTATCTTTGAACTATGATATAACCTATTAATCTTCCTCCTCCTGCAGGTTGGATGCGTTTCAACAACAAGTGCTTCATGTTCAAAGGGAAGAAAGATGACATTAAAGCGAACTGGACTTCTGCCCGGAGCTGGTGCAAAGACCAAGGAGGAGAGCTGGCAGTTATTGATAACCAGTACGAGAATGGTAAGAAGAAGAAGTTAAGAAGTTAACAGTCCAGTGGCCTCAGGCCAAAAAGACCACTGTCTATATTTTGATTCTCTCCTCTCCTCCAGACTTTGTCTCTAGTTACCTGAGGGACCTGGAGCTTCCCACGTGGATCGGCCTGTCGGATCTCTTGCTAGAGAATCAGTATGCCTGGAGTGACGGGGTTAGCCCTGTGCTGTACACCAACTGGAATGATAAGGAGCCCAACAATGCAGGAGGAGCAGTGAGGATACTTTACCTACACTACAGAGTTATTCATAATGATAATAATGTGAACCTTTTTTACTCTCTAACAGGCAGGACTAAAACCCTACACATTGTGCTTTAAAAGCTCATGTTTCTAGTTCGATGGCTTTAAGCTCTCTTCTCATTCTCAACAGGAACACTGTGTGGCGATGGCTCACGGACCCCTGATGAGTGGCAGGTGGAACGATCACGGCTGTCATAAGGATCAGAGCTTTGTCTGCTCCAGGAAGAAATGTCAGTTAAAATTCCAATTGTTTGTCATTTTACTCAAATACCATTCGTTTCCTTTTAGTCTCAGAAATTACAGGAAACATCTCAGACATATTGCAGCTAAATCCCTGTTCAGGCCTTACTTATAGACATTACTTCATCTGCTTCCACATCAGCAAGCAGCATCGACCCTCCACCCCCAACCAAGAGCCCCTGTCCGGAGGGCTACATCTCCTGGTACCGGAACTGCTACAAGCTGGTGGAGGAGCCGGCGACGTGGGACGCGGCCCAGGCGGCCTGTGAGCAGCAGGGAGGCGACCTGGCCAGCATTGACATGAGCTATGACCAGGCCTTCGTCGCTGGAGTGGTCCTGCAGGGCAAAGCTGACGCCTGGATCGGACTCAGGCGCAAGGTGCTGTTAGGGAGGGCAAACTAAAAAAACATTTAAGTTGGTTTCAGATCTATCAAGTGTGAGGTCAGACCAAACAACGCACCAACTGTTAGTAACAATACTTAATCACATGTGAAAGTCCTGCATTCAAATCCTCCTTAAGTAAAAGTACAGAAGGATGATCTGACTTAATCGGGCATTACATTTATTGATTTATAAGCGTGTCAAAAAGTTTAGAGGGGAAGCATTTAGTTTGGTGGGAAAATGTGTTTTTTTTAGTAAACTAACTCTTTAATCATTGAACCCAAGCTTATGTCATCTTGTAACGCAGGAAGATGGCTCCTACTCATGGACAGATGGCTGGCCAGTTTTTTTCACTCAGTGGGGACCAGGAGAGCCCAGCAACATCAAGGATGAGGGCTGCGTTAGCATGCACGCCTCACGTGCGTTCCACGGGACCTGGAACGACACCAAGTGTGACCAAGCTAAACCCTACGTCTGCAAGATCTCCTCAGGTTTGTAACACAAAGTGAACAGACTTTTCTTCATTTAAGGTACACAAAGTGTTGACGGTGTAGCATCATTTGTCTCTCAGAGCAACCGCCGCCGACTCCCGCCCCTGGTGATGGGCAGTGTCTGCCGTTCTGGATTCCCTACGGCCGCTTCTGTTACTACGTGTACAACGGTCAGCAGGGTTTCTCTTGGCCGGACTCCCTACACTACTGCCAGACGGTCAAGGCAAGTCTGGTGTCCATCCACAGCAGAGCGGAGGTGGAGTTCATCAGGAACATGAACTACACCAAATACCACCACATATGGATCGGGCTCACCAGGGACCGCAACTGTGAGTGTAGAAATGGACAAAGAAACAATAATACGAATGGTTTATTTTCCAAGGACTGCTTTTAATGGTGGAACTGTGTATGTATGGTTCTGTAGTTGGCTGGGGCTGGACAGATGCCACGTCTTTGGGCTTCCTCAACTGGGCTCCCGGTGAACCCAATGAAGCCTTTCACCCTGGGGACGTGGCCGAGGAGAACTGTGTGGAGATGTACCAGGACGGACGCTGGAATGACAACAACTGCCTGCAGAAGAGAGGCTTTGCATGCCGCCACCGCCAGTGTAAGGATTTGTTTTATTTATTTTTTTTTTTACATTTGGTTGGAATATAGTACTGCAGGCTCATTTCTGCAGCTTTCATTTTTGGTTTTTAAAGCTCTTGTGTGAAACCTGATTTTTCAGACTATACAACAGATGATGGCGGTGACCCAATTTTCCCCACTGATGGTCCAGATGTGAGCAGTAAGTGGGACAAAGTGCCAGATACGATGTTCTTCACCATCTACTTTTCTCTGCCCGTGTATGCAGCTGGTTTTCAAATAAACGTAGATGTGCAACCGATGACGTATTTGGATGTTGGGTAGCTTTAGAGACGACCAACATGAAAAACTGTGTGTTAACATCCCTGCTGCCACAGATGTCATATTTGTTTGTACAGATGGAGGGGTGATCGCCGGCGCCGTCATTGCAGCCATTGCGATTTTCAGCTTGATAGCTGGACTGCTGTTCTACGTCTTCAGTGTCCGGGGATACAAACTGAGCGTCCCGAGTCTGCCAACAAGAACAACCACTGCCGTCGATGTGGTGAGTGTATTGATCAGCTTGTTATGGTTGTGTGTGTGAACACGTTTTCATGGGGAGTGTAAATGCTAAGTTGTGTCATTCTTCTGTTGCAGCCTGCTTTCAGCAACCCCAATTTCGCAGGAGAATCAGACACATAAACATTGAATAAGTCATTCAAGTTTTGTACAGTAAATTTACTTTTTTTTTTTTAAATAAATCAGTGATAATAGTCTCCAAAGTGCTTTAAGATTCAACTCTATTGTACAGTATGTATTGTTATGCACCAATAAAAATAAGATGTATTAATCTTTTGTTCTCGTGCAGCAGTTTAGAAAATTTGTATATTTAATTCACTGTTCATGTTCTTTACTGACCTTTACCACTAAAGTGTAATTCTTGTTTCCTTTGAGAAAAACAAGAGTAAAAAAAAAAAAATAAATTGACAAAACATTTATTTCCAGTGTTTATTCATCTCTGTACACTGCAACACAAATTCTTTACATATTTCACAAAAGGAAAAAAGCATCCTTCAAAGATGTTTCTGAACAAGTATTTGTCAAGAAGTGTAAACTTGCAGAGTAATTCAGAAATGAAGAACAAACGATCGAGGATGATGGAAATAAAGCCACAAGTTGCAAAAGACAAGAAACAGTTGAAGTTGCACTATTTATGAATGTCAAAATGACCTTGTGTGCAGCGTTGACATTTTAGGAAACTTTAAAGATCATTTCTTTAGACGCCAGATGATGATGATGACGGGTACATAAGTATTCCCAAATGCCGTGGAGTCAGTGTACTTGCTCCTTGAAAATAAAATATCACTTTGTCATTTATGTGAGAAAATAAAGTCAGGAACACTTTTGTGATCCTGGTTTAGCCCTTTTATGATGTAATGACAGACTGAATTAACAAGCGAAACATTTCACACCCAATGGTACTCATTTCAACACGCTAATCTAAAGCAATGTTTCTTTTCTCACATTATTTCATACCGATTTTCTTTGTATCCCCTGTGAAACTAATAACTACATCAACGCCTCACTAAAAAAAAAAAAAAAAAAAAAAAAAAAAAAAACTACAACCAACAAAACCCATGCGTTATTGCTTCTAATCAAAGTTACACCGAACAAGAGAGAAGACGAGCACAGCCCTGCCGGTCTTTGGAACACGGTGTTCTTTTGTCCAGTAATGCTCTGAAGTGAACTACAAATACTCAAAAGTGCATTCGTTAGTAACCGGTTGTTTGGCCTTTTATTCTACTCGCACAGATTTAGTAAACAATGCAACTCAACGAAAGTGTGGAGAAACAGAGGAAAGCAGCTTCCTGGTGCAAAAACAAAACAAAGGGAACACTGCTGTAGTTTGATATCTGTTGAAAGACTGTGCTGGTCCCACTATACTTTAAAAAGGTAACTCAAACTGACTAACGCGGCCAATGTCATCGACTACATCCACCTCTACACTCAAGGAAAGTCAGGGTTGTAAAATGCCCCCCCACCTTTTTTTTGTTCTTGCAAGTATTTAAGATGTTTACTGAACTATGATGCTTGTATAACTCATTCGATGGAGGGCACAAGTGCACATTTTTTTAACAGGATGACAAGAATAAAATATAATCTTCTTTGGTCTGACGACAGCCCGAACCACTTCTGACCCTGAGCTTCAACCGTCGCATCAACAAAACCATGTGACATCAGAGACTCTAGTCCCTCAGCTCTCAGGTGTTTCCAATCATCGGTCGTTACGACACAGACGAGAGTCAAGATGATCACGAAGAAATGGTAATGCCTTAAAATTTGACAGATTCTACAGTTTACACAATGATTTCATCATTCATCAAAGACTGAACCTGACAGGCCAGTCTCCTCTGAAATCACCAGAAGTGTCTTACTTTGCCTCATTAATCATGTCCAGATTTATCTTTGTTACGATATTCAGAATTCAACCGACGTGTATTTAGTTCTGGGAGGGCAAACGTCTCGGTAACAGTACAGCGGGGGTTTTTTATTGCACAAAAACTGATTTGATATTGTTATCTGGCCTTTTTGCTACAATATCCCCATATTTGACTTATCTTTACTTCCTACAAAGTAAACATTAGACCGCGTCACCAGTACAAATGTTTTAAAAAAATGACTCCTCGGTGATTTGTCGGAGAAATAAACTTTAAAAAAAAATACAAAATCCCTGAATCCAAATCAAACAGATCTTTCAGACTGCACAGGGAAATTTAATCTCTCTTTTAAGAGAAATTAAATAAAAATCATGATCCATTTGAACAACGAGTACGGTGCCTTGTAGTATTACTTAATAAATCAAATGTGTGTCAGAACTAGCAACACAACCACATGATAAGGCAGGGGAGAATTATAGTGCCACCAAATGGCACTTTTGGTTATATTTCATGCGCGTCACTCCTGAATATAGAGACGTGATTCACTAAATGATTCCAACACAATAACTGACTAACAAGACATGAAAGATGTAGATTACAGCAGATGAAACCTATGTTCATAAAAGTGCAAGAGAGAAAGTGAGAGACACCGAAGTGGACGTGAGGGGAAACAATAAATAAGTGCAATGTTCAGCGTGCTATCAAGAACACACATCACATCAGAGGACTTCCTTGTCTATCTTTTTTTTTTTTTTTTTTCCTCGATGAGATGAGTTCATGTGAAGTAGAGAAAACTGGCACAAGCCTGAGGGACAGTCCAGGTCAGTATGGGAGCATAACACACAGAGGTGAAGTAAAGGTACAGCGAGGCGGCCTGAAGGGTTCGCAGGTATTCAGTGACGGGAGCAGGTTGATGGTCACTTCACCTTTTGGCTGTCCAGCCTCAGCCAGTGGACGCCCTGTCTCGTATAACCGACCACAGAGCTCATACTTGACGCAAGGCTCAATGGGCCCATAAGTGTGTCCAGCTCTGTCAGCATACCTGAAACATAGGATAAATATGCAAAGCATCATACATCAAAACAATGGATGTCCAAACATTACCATTATTATCAAAATTCCCCCCTCTGGTCCCATGTCATCTAGTCTGGGAGACTCCGTATCTAATGTTAATCTAGGTTTGGAGTCTAAGCTTACCGCTGCCTCTTTGTGCCAGCTCCTCCGCCTGCTCCCAGATGTCATGAGCGCTCAAGAATAACATAGTGATGTTGACGTAGCTGAATGCCACTCGTCCGATGGCCTGGGGAATGACCACAGAGCTGCCGACAGGGTCCACAACCAACCCGCTGACACTGTGGTTGGAGCCGGGACCTGAGCTGGTGGAGGTGTTGGCTGGAGACGGCATGTTGGGGGTGTAGGACGGTGTGTCTGTCACTCTAAAAAGATACGCGGAAAGAGATAGAGACTTTTTACAACAAAGACAGCTCTGTGCAATATGCCCAAACAGTGAATGAATGTAACTGCAGTGACTTACTTTAATGTTACTACAGATGGATCGGGAGTTGTTGAGTTCTGAAAGAGGTCCACATTTAATTAGCAAAACACAAATCGGTTCTCTTTACAACTACTAGATCAAATGTTGGAATTACCTAAATAATTGCAAAACAATTACAGTGGCAATAAGGAGCGATGGCAGCACATGCATACTTACACTGAAGTGGTCTGTGAGCGTCTTTGAATACTTGATTGCAGTTTTTTGTTTGTGGCGAAACATGGCCATCTGCAGCAGAGACTGGCACTTCAGACTACAAGACACAATGAAATGTTATTCAGTTATTCATAGTTCACATGAGACAAAACAAAGAACAGACTATTTTGTATGACTTTAAAATCAAAGTACTACGACCATTTCATTTTTTATGACTAATATACTATGAATTTTTTTAAAAGATTCTGTACTGACTTTTTTTGACGACATGCTATAGTAAAATATTTTAATGGCATACTATACTATGACTTTTTACACACCACACTATCATTTTTTATTGCATTTTTCGACATACTATAATATGACTTTCATATTTTTCTACGTAATATACAATAACTATTTCTTACATGACTTCCATCGACATAGCACATATATGTAGTCTCATGAGACACTGGTTTGTGGAGACACAGCACATGAAGTATGGTCTACCTCTTACCACAAAGATAAAAAGTCCTTTTCTGAGGGTGAAGCAGAGGCGTCCACTGAATTTTTAAGTTTCAGTACAAACCTGTGAGAGTGGAGAATGTGCCGGTAAAACTAATGCATGAATCAAATTCAGTTAAGGAGCCAAAACGTTCATTGAAATTTAACTTGGATACAAAAGTTCAATGTCTGTGACTATGACAGGGTGGAAGAGTCTATCCTGCACACTTATAAATATGCAAACTAATAAAACTACAAAAAAACTACTAGTGCAGATAATAATGATAAAAGTGGGTTCGTACTTGAGCAGTTCCACTGTCTCTGCAAACATAGTGTAGGAAGACATTGAAATGTGTGGATCTTTTTCCATGGCAATGCCACTTTCAACGAAGTACATGGCCGCATCCAAGTAATTGAAAGCTTTACTGAGCTTATCCGACTACAGAGAGAGAGCAAAAATAAATTACTGCAGTCATTTTAGTCAATGAACTAAAAGCAAACAAAGGGAGAACCTACCTCTGCATCGGCTTTGTGCTTCAGTTTTTTGGCCTCTTTTATGTAATGCTTCACTGGGTACTGCCTACAGGTGAACACATCATTTATCAGAGGACTAACAACAATGTACAACTAACAATTTATAACACCACCAATGTCTGTGGGTAAGATCTCTCAACTGTCTCTGTTGTGTGACACAATACAAATCCAGACACAGACAGCATTTTTGGGGACATAACAAATGAAAAACTTTATTTTAGAACAACTTAGCAGCGAGGCAGATAGGATTTTACCTTTCCTCTAATCTGAACAAGGGCCTGCTGGTCAAAGCTTTCCTGGGGGGCTGTGAAGAGGACGAGACGTCGAGGCTGCTCTTTGGTGGCTTCTGTTAGGATTACAATGCAGACGTTTGGTTACAATTTGAATAGTTTACCTTTTCATGTACCAATTCATTAGTAAGCCGAAGCTCGTCTGAGGAAAAGAAGCGAGGCACTAACATGCATACGTGAGCTAGGTGCTTGTATCCTGTTACCTTTCCAAGGTGTGGGTGTTCTGTGTGCTTTCCACTGCTCTTCTTGTGCTTTGTGGTCAAGTCTTTGCTCTTCACAGCCTCCTTACTGGACTCCTGGGATTCCCCAGAGCTGCGTTTGTGCACCTTTGGGCCTTTAGCAGGGTCTTTGGGTGTCAGAGGCTGCTGCAAAGGAACAGGGTTTTTCTTTGCCTTCTTTCGCTCTCTGTCATCTTTTGAATTGCAGGAACGTCTGCAAGTGACAACATTGGAGAGCTTTTGAGATCTGACACACTCTCAAAAAAAAAAAAAAAAAAAGGAATTTTAAAAATGTTGATGTTATCCCTGGTAAAAAAAAAAAAAAAAAAAAAAAAAAAAAAAAGTACGGGAGTCCTCTGATTTAGGGGACCTACTCCAGTTTGACAGAAGCATGATTTGATGAGGTATTCTTGTTTTCCAGCCTCTGTTTCTTCCTGGGAAGAGTTGCATTGTCTACCTCGACCTAGAAGACAACAAATCACACATTATTATAATAAGTATATTGTACATGTACGCCAACTAGAGCAGGCCTCTATATCTCACATTTTGAGATATACTCTTTGTGCTGGTTTTGGCGAGTTTGTGTGTAGTAGAAGCATCCCTGCCCCCTCCATCTTGCTCTATGACCAGTGCTGATCTCTTTGCAATGCTGGGTATGTCCTGGTGGTTTCCCGGGGTCGGGGGGACTCTTGAGAGCAGTCTTAGATCAATCTTCACCAGCAGGTGTCTAGAAGGCCTGTGGGGCTCCCGAGAACTCTTGGCTATCTGTCCAGTCCTCCCCGAGTTCTTGTGGGTTGTTTTGTGAGGAATCTTGGTCCCCCTCTGGCAGATGGTCTCAGACTTTTGTTTGCTACTACTGATTCCAAGTAGTCGAGCTGGCAACAGCTGGTCAGGCTGAGCAGGACTTTGGGTGGGGCAGGAGCAGGGGACAGGATATTGCACACCACATGATGGACAATGACCACACGGGACAACTGCGACATCAGGCTCTTCTCCAGCCTTCCGTTTGTCAAGTGACGTGCGTTTAGAAGTCCTTTTAATGTCTCTTTTAGTGTCACCGTTACCCTTGCTTTTCTTGCTACGTCCTGTTTTCGTCTTTACCTTGGGTCTATCTGTGAAACAGGGATCTTTGTCTTGCGTGGCGACAACTTCCTCACACTTCACACCGATAGCTGCCTCAGTGCGATCTGGGCAACGTGCCTTCTCTGGTATTGAGGAGCGTTTGTTGAGTGAAGGTTTCCTGGAACTGCTACAGCTGTTCAACTCAACGACGGGGGATTTTTGGCTACTTTGATGGTTATAGTTGTCCTGAGGGATTTCGCTGTGCTGCTGGAGCTTTGCAAGTCTATCAGTGAACTCTCTCTGGTGGGTTGAAAGCTGAGGTTTGGACTCCCTGGTGGGGTCGACGACCTCTACACTGAGTGAGAGCTTGGAGCTTTGAGTGGGCGGTGGCTGTTTGTGAGCGGGGCTCTCAGAGGCATGTGCACTGCTTTGACTCTCAGGGCCGGAGTTCTGCTGGCTGGACCGAATCCAGTTCCCCAACTGCCAATCACCATGGGCCACTGCAGGAGCATCAGGCTGAACAAAAAAAAAAATAAATAAATAAAATAAAAAATAAATACATAAGAAAGTCACAAACATTGTGATTTTAGAAAATGAGAAGGAGCAGAGAAAGCATGTCATGTGTCCTTTATTCAATATGAACGATATGTACAATAAAGGACAAGCAGCAAGTTACCTCGGTTGTGATGTTGGAGCTGCTCACGGGGAGTTGAGGCGGCTCCTCGATGGCGCCTTCACTCTCCGACTCTGATCTTGAGCTACTCTCGGAATCGCTGGAGCTGGCGGACTCTACCCCTCTGGAATGTGCAGCTTTAAATGAACTGCAGAAAACACACAAAAACACCACAATAACATCACATCAAAGTGCGATAGTGACAATGAAATAAACACAGTGGTGCACGTGACCAGGCTGTGCTGGTAAACAGCGCATTTGGAATGTTTGAGGAAGAAATTTGTTTTTTTTTATTTGCAATTCATTAATTCTGTAAATAATTTTTTCTCTAAAAATTAGATCTACAACAAGTAATCGATAAGTTGATTAATTAAAAATGTATTCAAAATGAAGCTACTGATCGTTTTTGTCATTTTTCAACAGTTTCTCAAATGTATAGATTTCCTTTTTATTAATGGTAAGAACATTAATATATTTACATTTTAGTCTGTTGGTCAGATAAAACAAGTTTTTTGAATACATCATCTCGGGCTGTGGAAAATGATAACAGGCATTTCTTTATTATGTTCTATACACAAAACAATTGAGAAAATCAGCTTCAGAGTAATTGATCCTAATGACAATATTTGTTATCCGTTTGAATGGATAGTTGAAAACAGCCTGCAAACAATGTTCCTCAGGGTGTCAACTTACATATCTGCTGTGTGTCACAAAAGAAAAGCCAAATGACTCACGCTGAGGGGCTCTGCTGGACGAGCTGGGATGGATCTGCAGGAGAGGACTCACAGTTTTCTAAAAGAGAGGACATTAGTTTAACAAAAGAATTAACTTATGTTCTTACATACTTACAATCTCTTTCATCAAACAATCTAATGCATTGTTTTTGTAAAAAGGAAACCAATACATTTGATTTCCAGCTTCACCTCCAGAAGCAACGATTATATCACCGCTGCTTCTCTTAATAAAGTCCTGAATTCAAACTTGCATCATTCATGTCAAGTAGATCTTTGATCATCATACCATGTATATAACACAGTAACCTGTTCCTAAATTGTTTTGCTAGCATTTCCCCAAACTCCAGAACTTCCTAAATTCCACATCTGTTGCACGAAAATGGTTTCTCTTGCTCAATGTAATTTTAAATAGAACACACAACAGACCCACTGCTTTTGTCACGCATATAAAGGCCAAATAGTGTGTAAATATTGGTGAGATAACAGCTGGTCAAACAGACATTATGACGTGATGTGAAATGAATATGAACTGGGAATGAAAGTCTAATATCTGACTGACTGAACAACTGTCTGAATCTGGCTTCTTAATCCTTTCTCAAATACTTGTTGCTGTAAATTTGCATTTATGATGGCCAATACAAACGGGTGTTTTTCTATTGGATTGCACTATACAAGTATTTATTTAATGTTGGTAAAACACTGCACCCTTTTGTAAACTTATTTTTCTGGCAGGTGCTTCAACAGCCAGGCGACTACTAACGGTAGTGCTGACAGATGTTCTAAAGCCAGAAGCACTTAAAAGTCAAAGGATAGATGAGATAACACAAGGGAGAAAGGAATGAGCAGAAGTGATGGAGGAATACCAGCGAGTGATGAAAAAAAACTAACTTCCTCTCTTCTGTAGGATTGCCTCTTACTCTAAGCGGAGGTTTATTTGAGATAAAATTGCAGGGTGGTTTCTCGCCTCTGGTATTTTGTGGCCAGTTCACAGAATAGGGCTCAATGGTTGTACATGTTGCCGTAAAAACATTGCTCTGAAGAAAACACAAGTCTGAGAGACGATCAGCGAGACTATTAACTCTATGGATATTAAAAAGCAAAGAGAGGAGAATATTTATGCCACACCGCCTTTCACCAATGATGATCAAACCTCCAATTTTATCAACAGGCTGTACAGCAGATGCTTTATGACGACAGATCGAAAGACTCCAACCGTTTGCACTCAAGTGTTCATTTTTCTTGATAGAGTAACATCATTTCTGTAGATCATGTTCATCTGTGTTGTGTGCCTGGATTGTGCTCTGCTATATTCCCTCATTACTCACTTTGTCCTGGACATGAAGAGACAAGCTCCGCTTCCTGTGAAGACACAAAACACAAGCAAGCTTTTACCTGGGTCACACATGCGTTTGATTTAGAGTTGTACATTTGCATCTACATTTAAACTAAACTGATAACTAGTGAGGAGATGAAACAATTGACCCGAGAGTGGTGCGAGTCTAAACTCAAAAGGGTTTATCCAGTCTCAACATGAAGATCCTCATCAAATTGCATGGCGACTTGTTAATCTGACATTATGGAGATAGCATGTGCAAAATATAAATTTTGATTTTTGGTGGGGGAAATCAATATCCACAGTTCAGCCATGAGACCATTTCCTGTGTAGCTGACAATTCTACCTCATGTGGAAGCTCATTATCCATCCACCACAGGAATAAATCAGAGACAGATGTTTTCACTGAAGAGGTTACAGCTTAGACTACGTTCAGTTAAAAGTTGGGAGTAATTTTTAGTGCATCACAAGGATTCTTCAATCACAGTGTGCTTCATCTGAGATGGTAACGCAAGCAAGGATGCAGGATTACTGCGACCCCTCCTCCTATATATACACACAGCAGCGGCGGTGAGCAAATAAATCAAGTTGGACTTTACCTTGGCTTGGAACAGGGACTTGGAGGGCTCCTCTGTGCTCGGTGTCTGTATAGCTGTCAGGAGAGGGGGCCACGAGTGGGTCATTTCCTGTGGAGGGGATTAAAAAGTGTGATGTGCTAGGAACCTGCAGCCTTGGCACAATTACAAAACAGGTGTCACTCTATATTAAATAAAAACAATGCATGCAGGTGTACTCATCCCATCTATTTCAGATTTGGTGACAGCACATGATAGTTTCTCTCTTTGCAACTTGAATACAAGAAGCCAAGTGAGAACCTCGCATTGTAAAAAGGTTGTAAATATTGTAAAGGAGGCGCAGGAAAAGAAAGAGCAGCAAGCGTGAACTGGTTAAATTAAGTCAAGAAGATTAATACAAAACTATTTATTTCCTTAGAAGATTCTTTCATAATTTTCCAAATTCAAACGCAAAGCAAACTACAGCAGTGTGAACATCTACTCTTTGTAATAAAGCACTTACAATACACTTACAATACACTTACAATACACAACGTGTGCTAAAAGAGTGGTTCTAGACATTTATAACATTCTAAAAGGTAATCTAGTTCAAGACTTTTTATATTTTGTGTAAAATTAATAAATTATGCATAAGTACAATTTCCCCGTGCATTGCATTTACATCTGGACTCACCCTCAAGATGTCTTTGACACACAGAACTTCATTTGACCTCGTCTGAAGAAAGGAAAGGAATAAAAAAAAAGATAGTTATTCAATTATAACCTGAAGAACAAACGTATAAAGATTTGTTGAGGGCTACAATTTTACAGAGCAATCCATTTATTATTTCACAGGTCAAAGTTAAAAATAACTAAAATCCCCTTCACATCTGTTTTTATCCTAACTCCCATTTTCATCTCGGATTGTTCATTCCTTGTTGCATGCGGTAAAGAGAGGCACAGAGCCCAGCAGAGAGCAGCAGAGACTCCCTCATACTAAAGCAGTGACATTAGTCATTTTCTTTATTGTTGCATTAAAAAAATGAACGTAAAAAACAAACATTAATTCAGTTATTACATACAAAAAGCAAATTAATTGTCCTTTTAAACATACGTCTTTCCATTTAATGACAAAGTAAATGCATACATAAAGGAAATACAACAATGTTTATCGTATTCCGCTTTATTTTTGGTTTGTTTGATGCCTTTTAAATCTTCCACAGAACACCAAACTAAAGATGAAAACACACTTATAGCGTAGACCAACTTAAAAATCCTGTACCCTATGAATGAACATTCTGCTTTATGGGGGGGGGGGGGGGGAGACAAAACATTACAAACATCAGTAAATATAATGCAGTCCTACACTACACCACAGCTAACTTTAAGTGTGAATCGCTAGATGAGTGACGCAACACCCCTTATCAGGCAGCAACGTGGGCCAACCTCAACATCAGAGAAATAGTGCGTGTGAATGAACGGGGTCAACATGCTGCATTTGTGATTGTTTTCAGGCCCGTCCTTCAATCATTCCTTCTGAATGGACAGTGTTTGACATAAGGCTAGAATGAGCGGGCCCCCGGAGCAGTTATGCAAGTTGGTGACAAAGCTCATTTATTGTTCTGCCGCTGAGCCCAGGGGTGAAGTTATCAGAAAGCAGCTGAGGTCACATACACACACACAAACCAACCACAGGTTGCTTGCCACATCTACCATGCTACGCAGTATGACATGACAAAAAACTGCCAAGCAGTATTATAATTAACAGGAACTACTAATAGTGCAGATCATTGTCTCTAACGTGTTGTGTGTGTTTTTTTAAAAAAAATTTTATAAATGGCATTGTGTTTTCTCTAATGTTGTGTTTTAGCACTTCAGGACCATCACAAGGCAGAGGGCTGGAGAGTCATGGCTCACTCAACATGTTTACTTTTGTTACACCAGTTCAGCTGTAGATTCCTGATCAACAGTTTTTTGCTGTGTGTGCACAAGCCCGTCTGCTCTCTGACCCCTTTGTATTGACCCGTGATTGGAAATAACACACTGTAACTGCATTTCTTCTTCATGTCTTCTACCTCTCAAACTGATTATATTGTAGATCCAAACATGTCTCATACATGGCTTATTGCAGATGTGGAACTTAACTCCAGAGTGTAGGGGGATAAGTAGCTGCCTAGAAATCTTGCACTGGATTACTCCCAGCAGTGATAATAGCAGCATATTCATCACTGCTGCAGGATGGTAAGGGGAAGGTGTTGCATGCTGCAGGTGCAAGCGTGTGTGTGTTTATGAATAGAGTTGAACTGGAGTTCAGCCAGATTCTCCCAAACAAAGCAAGTCCAAGACCTTTTTAAACACCTGAACAGTCAGGTTAATACTCTAGGAGCGGTTTCAGAGAACACGCCGTCCTCTAGTTCCACAATAAATTCATAGCCCAAACAATAGTGCTGGGAATTAATGAGTAGGACTTCCATTGTCCTATCACCTCCCCCGAAAGTCCCTGGAAGCACCAAACAATAGATTCAGTGGTACACATCTCGAGACATTTATATCTTACGGGCAGAATATACTGATTTGTATTCAAAAAGCAGGATTCAAATCATATACTACAGTATCTACACACTACTGTACTTTAGATCCTACAATTTAACAGTGATCTAGTGTTCAACAGATAAGTGTGTTTCCCAAAATGTTGGACTGAGTTACATTAAGTCCAATCAGAATGCTGAAAACCGAATTAAAGCTAAGTTTAGCTTAGCATAAAGACTGGATATCCACCTACCAGCACCTTTAAAGCTCACTAATCAACCCAATATATCTTGTTTGTTTGATCCGTACATAAAACAAAGCGTAAATATACATATGCAATATACTCACCTCCAGAAATTGTGGCAGCATCTTGGTTTTGCCCGGATCAGATTTGTTGATTAGCTCCGGTATAGGTACATATGGCTCCGGTGAAGACTTCAGCTCCGGTGACTCGCTGACCACCTGGTCCTGACCGTCCATGGGCCGCACGTACGCCGTCGGCTTCTGGGTCATGACTACGCTGGGCTGCTTTGACGACAGGAGAGAAGGGAAGGTCTGGGAAGGTAGCGTGTTACCCTTGTTTGCTTGGAGCAGAGACGCATCGCTGGGGGACTGCTTTAGGTTAAAAGTGGACGCATCCATGTCTTTAGTGTCCTTGTTATCGTGGTCACTGGAATGTGGGAAGGGTAGCGGCTTAGCGTCGGGAGACTGAGAAGACATTTCGTGGGAAAGGCCGACACACTCCCTGAGATCAGAGTGGGCCTCGCTCCTCTGTTGTTGATGTGCCGAGAGGCTGAGCCGACTGTGGTTCAGAGGAGCATTTGAGAAAGTGGATGAATGTCCGTGGTGGTTCGGGGAAGAAGAGGCAGCGGACGTCCTCGTGGGCTGAGAGGAGTAACTGTTGCTAGATGGGGCTTTCTGACTTTGGGAGGACGTGTAATGGATTTGATTGTGGAATGGAGGCTTGGCTGGTTTATCAGGGTTGGGCAGACCCTGATCTGACTGTAAGAAGGTTAAACAAGTAGGAATGGGTAAAGCCTCCATAGCAAAGGGATATGGATTATTCACATCTTCATAGCTGCCGAGCATCCTCTGGATTCGATTGGAAAGCTCGTCCCCTTTGTTTGTCTGCACAAAAAGAAGAGGTGAACCCTACATTTTATGAAACATTCTTTTAATTGTTTCATTAGAGGATTTAACTCATGATATGTGGGCCTTTACCTTGTATGGTACCCCAAAGAGTGGCACATTCTCAGTGTTGGCTTGGCTTGTTTCTTGGTTCCTCTGTTTCCATGCACGGAGGCGAAGGAGGTTCCTGTCTGCACTGTATCGAACATTACAAAGAAAGCAGATCTGAAGTCAGCATTGCATTTACAAGCACATCATTCGAACTGCGACACTAAATGTGACTAGTTACCCTGTTAAAGGATGTAGTAGCTGCCTTAAATATTAAAACTGGTGACATGCTCCATTCCTCACAACAGCCTGCTCTTTGTAAACAGCTCTGTATTTCATATGCGTGTTAGATATATATACTATTAAACCCCAGAACAATGAATGCGACTGATCCTCGATACAAATTTAGAGACTGCAAATTCATGGCATCTTCTCACAGGTTTCTCTACCCAGGGGGACAGAGCAGCAGGGTCTAATGGGGGAAGACGGTGCCCATCTTATCAACCGAAAAGTGTAATTAGACTCACAGACGCCATGAGAGGATTCACCACAACATTCACATCTGTTCTCTCAAGCCCCTAAAGATTACATGCAGCCCACGCAGACTTCATATGGATATTAACAGTCCAGATAGGATGCCAACAACAAATATAGCACCCTCAATATAGTAGAAACTGCATTGTGGATGTGGAACAGCAGCCCCAGGCCCCCACAGGATCAGGCCCCGTTTAAACCTGTATATATAGATATATACACACACACACACACACACACTAGTGTGAACTGAACACTTTATTCACATTACTTCCCAAAATACAGTGTTGCTCATCCTCACTGACAGCAAGCCCAATAGGGATGCTTCCATGGCAACAAGTGGAGCGGCACAGATTTGGGACGAAGCCAAACAGATGAGCACTTACTCATTAATGGAGCAGAGACTGGCCAAACTATACCAGCCTGTTACTGCCCAGCCACTGCACTATCCAGGGGTACAGCGGCACACCGTGCATGTATTAGATTACACACTAGTCTTCTGAACAAACATGAAACATACACGTTGTTGATTGTACATGTTGATGACAAGCACACAACACTTACAGAAATGTTTAGAAACAGTTTAGCGATACCAGGGGTTGGGTTATTGATGAGGCTGGAACTTGTGTTATATTCTTATTATCGGGTCAACCTCTAATCATTTAATAATTACTCAAATATTTAACAGGAAAGCTTAACATTAACCCATTTGGACCAATACCAACTATTTTGGCAGTTTGGTGGGCAATGATCCCGTCTTTAAAACAAATTGCTGTACCCTGTGTCCTCTGTTTGTAGCCTTCCACCAAAGTGAATGGGAGAGCTTTAAGTGTACGGATTCACCAATCATGGATGACAAACGCCAGAAACCTGAACTGGAAAATAAAAAAGGGTGAGAAGACAACCCGTCCACGTCACAGAATAGCCCGGAGAAGAAAGTAGCGATACTGAAACAGCCAAACCCGAACAGCAGAGAAGCAGAAATGTCAACAAACCCTGAGAGACAAAGTATCAAAGTAGTACAATGTGTTATACAGAAACTCCTTCAGGGAAAAAATAACTTTGCAAAAGCACAAAATCTGAGGACTCATATCAGAGCGTGCACACCCATACAAAAGCAAAAAGTAACCCCAATCACAATGTGACTTCAGTCAACCAAACTATCTTTTGAATAATCCTAAAATAGGAATCGGCCCTCTGCATGCATGCAAGTCTCACCACAACCGGGTCCTGATTTCAGGTTAGAGACATTGGTTTGAGTTTTTAAGGCCGACACCTCTACGGACGATATATCCGAAAACAATCTAGATTGATAAATAACATTACAGGTAAGAGGAAACGTATATTTTTGATATTGGGGTGCACTGTTCCTTAAAATTACCAATCATCATCAACATTTTTGTCAAGCTTGCTCAGCTTGAAGCTTCTAAAATGTGAGGATTTGATTTCTCTCTTTTTTGACTGACCATTGGATAAAACAAGTTATTTGAAGATGCCCTTTTTATAAACACACGATGGACTTTTCTTTTCACGATTTCTTGACATTTTATCTAAAATATTAGCCGATACCGAGTACCGCTCCAGCACCGTGGAGTGTTTCATTCATGAGCTGTGTTGATGATGCTCTACTTTTCAAAAACTGATGCCAAGCAGCACAAACTTGTTGCACAATATTGCTTCCAAGTGCATACTTTCCATTTTCAGTTTTAATGGAAGGAAATTTGTTTCATCACATATTGGTATAAATGCACATAATACTGGTAATACCAGACAGTCATCGTTTAAATGCAGGTACTAAAATCTGCATTTCACTCTGCTCTTGAACAACCCAAAGCAACAATCTAAAGCTGTTTTCTACATTTATTTGCCTTTAAAACTTTAACACTCACTTTTGAATTAGTCTGCAAAAGATCTACTTTCCTGCTTTTCATGCATTTTAAATGAATCTGAAGCTGCCGTTACTTTAACAGCCTGCAGGACATTATTATATTAGTAAATAACAATCACATGGAGCTTTATTGTGCCTAAAAGTTTAATATATATACATATATACATATATCCTTTGCTCAGATCCTCGTGTTACAGAGTGGCTGACTTCTGATTCCTTCTCTATATGTTTCGGATGATTACACAGTGAAAGTACATTAGTACAGAGAAGAGTCAGCACCAGTTTTCTCTCGTTGTCCAACTTATTACCCAAAATCCAGGTCAGTCAAAAACACGACGGCTTTGCAGAAACCCACGTCTCCATAGCGTGTACGCGTAGCTAAACGTTAACTCGCATAGAACAGATTGTATAAACACAGCAGCCCCTTTAAACCAGCTGGTGAAAATCACACCAGCCTCCTCTTTTCCAGCTGATTCCACCTCCTTCCTCGAACTGCTTATCAAAGCTAAAAAAAATACCGCATGTCAGTTTTGACGTTAATGACAGACAGCTACCGGACCACCTTCCTTTCTGACAGAGTTTCAAATTAAAACTTTAACTTGTGGCGAGTGGCCGTGTGGAGGTAATTGTCGGTAGTCACCCCCGGTCAGGCTGTGGAGCTAGCGCCCAGCTGCTAGCAGCTAGCTGCGGGTGTTTTTCTGCCTACCTCGACTGATATGCCATGGTGCCCCTCTCACAACAACCGAAGTTGTCATACGCTTCCGACAGTCCTCCGCAAGGTGGTCTTCTCACTCGGTCACATTTTTTTTTCTCAAACCGCTGAGTAAATAGTTGATTAAATGGCTGTCAGGCCGTCGTTGTTTGATAGTTGTCTGCTAACCCGTCCGTGTTTGGGTTGTCCTCTCTCTCTCTGTGTCCCCCTCTCTCTCTCTCTCTCTCTCTCTCTCTGCCTGCTGGATTGTTCTACTCTATTCAACCATCTGGGGACCAAGCTCAGTTTTATACACTCGATGCAGTACAAGCTTGTCAGAACATATCTCTAAAGCAGCTGTGTTGCTATTATACGAGTCAATACAAAGTAAATATAACAAATGAGTCTATTAACAGCTGTTTTACGCACTACTTTTTCCTCATCACGACAGTTTGCCCAAACTTTACACTGCTACCCCTGCGTGCCAGACATGGTACAGTCATCTGTCATTAGATGTGTTTGTACAACAGACTGCCGTGTATGTGTCTTCATTTAAAGTTTTTAAAAGACGGGGTTTAAAGCCCGTGTTTGCAAATTATCTTTATTCCAAGTGGGTGTTGACAGCTACAGAAAAATAAATTGATTTCTCGGCTGAATCAAAGAAGGATAGATAGATCAAGCTTTGTACAGAATACAATACAAGCTGGGAATTCATAAATACAAACAATTTGTTTTAATGCATTAGACTAGCAGAGATGAGAAGTATAGTATATAGTATTTTTAATCATGGTTCAGACAGGTTGTCACACATACTGTCAATAGACCACAGACTCAAAAAAAATTAGTGTATGGTTCATTAAAAAGCTATTAAACCTTAATGAAATGAGCTGCTTTGTTTTAAGAAATGTTTGGTTTTCTGTTTTGAATTCCTACCTGACAGAATTAATACCTTTATTTATTATGATACCTGACATAATCACATTTCTTTCTTTAAAGCCAATTTATTTTGGGGCTTTTTAAAATCTCATTTATTTGGATTTATATTTTTCATGACTGTAGGAAGGGCACTATCCTGTCCCGCATGCCCTGCTTTGAAAAGCACAGTGGTTACTTGTCTTTTAATGGTAAATGGTAACATTAAGATGCAGCATGTGACTAAAATAACTAATATGTACAATATGGAAATAGTCTGCTCTTAGTTTGTGTGCCATTTAATTATGAATCAAATTTAGACAGGAATGGTGGATATATAAGTGACAAAACTGATTGTGGATACAGCACAAAACACTTTTACATTTAACAATTGGCCAAACACAAATAAGATCAAGTACACACAATATCCAATACAATGATTTATTTTAGAAATAAAGAAAGTGTCACACCATTTTGAATGATTGGTCCTTACCTTGTTTACAGTTAAAAAGAAGGACCTCTAGCGCGAGCAACGGTTCACTCTCCTGCCCAGAAATCCCGAAGTAGATCATAAAGTCTGACTCAATATGTCACCTTGGTGCTATAGTTTTGGTGCATGAGTTCAGATTTGATGACACAGAGCCCAAAACTGGCAGTGGTTGTATTTGTCCTGTAGGTTTTAGAGCTTGGCCCGCAGCTGGAAAAAAAAAAAAACACAGACACACAAATCATTTAATACATTTCAACTAAACATGTAAGATGAACATGCTAAGGAAGTGCATCACAAAAGAATCAAGCAGCTTGTTTTCTGCTGCTTTTGGAGCATGGACACCGGCACGTGTATGATTAATGCAGGCATGAGGTACAGGCTGTGCAGAAAGGTCTGTTATTGGATACTCACCCTGGGTAGTTATGTTATGCTACTGGCTGTCTGCCTGCAGAGCACACCGACATCATCTTACTTCATTTAGACCTAACTGGAGGCTCGGGACTGTTGAACGAGCTGACCATTAGACTTTTATATTGTAGACAAAGATTGGGACCTAAAGATCATAAAATGCATAATAGGAAACAATATAACTATTCAATACTAAAAGAGGATTAAAAGGAGCATTACTTTGGTGACTTTCTCAAAACAATTTGCAATTTGTGAATTTAGATATTGAACACACAGTATTTAGTGCAGTATCTATAGCATACACTTACTTAATGTACTGTCAAAGAAGCTGCAAAATGTGGGGATTCAATTTAGTACATTTAAGGAATTGATTGAGAGCAATGATTGGTCAATGACACACAGCATTTTGGTTGTGTTAAGTGTCTCAGATGAACACAAAGATCTTAGATGTTTCAGCTGTTTCCACTTTGCTTTTTGCATGCCAGGCACAGAAACACACAACACTGCTCTGTGATAAGCCTGCCATCCAGAGGCTGGAAGGTGTGCAGGACTGCAGTCTGATGCCTTTTGTTAGTTTAAATGATAACCAGTGGGTGGCACTACATTGTTTCTTGTGAGTAGAACAGACAGCCAAAGCACAGCCAAGAGCAGGTGAAATTCGTCTTTGATAAATGTATGTGCATTTTATGACAACCGAAGCAGCAAATACTGAAATAGTACACACTGTGTATAGAGACAAACACATACAAGATGCACACTGCCCATATAGTACTGTATATATTAGTAATATTCCAAATATAGTAGTATTTCTCAAACAATCCCAGCATAATTAGTCCAAACTAATTTGTTTAGAATGTGTAAGTGTATACTTGTTCTGTTTTCTATTATTTGTAATAGGAATTGGGTTTGCAATAGTAGGTTGCTGTTCTACGTAAGGTCACTATAATATCATTGCATGTTTCTCAATAGTCAAAAACATAAGCACAATAAACATGTGACTGAAAAAGGGAAAAATATGTTTTTAATAATAATGTCATTAACACATACAGCCATTGACGTCTCATATTTACATCCTTCGTTTGACAAAGAACTTTTGCATCACTCTGGTTGTCTTTGAAACCAGCAGAGCACTGATAATGTCGTGCAGATTTAGCCATCACTCTGATAAACACTTAACATACGCCATCAATAATCTTCTAACAATGAAATATCCAGTGCTGACGTTGTAGATCGTAATTTTACAGTTTACGATACACAATATTTTTTGAGTATTTACATATCATCTGTCACTTTCAATATAAATCCAACACATATGCAATATATAGACATCTTTTCATGTGCATACTGTACATAATCATTCAGTATATATATCCATTCAATATTTTTTTCTTTGCACTTTTTTTGGATTGTTTTCAACTTACAGAGCACTTGACTTGTATATAGACATTTTATTTCTTATTTTATTATTAGTCATTGGTGCTTGTTATATTTTTGAATATTATTAATATTTACATCTATATTTTCATTAGTTGTGTACATAACAGTCCTGTCTATTCTTGATAGTTATCTAACCAGCTTTGTTTTCCCCTGTCCCTACTATAGCTGTTATTTCTATTTCTGTGCACATTAAGAGAGACGCAAAAAATAAAAGTTAAATTCCTCATTTGGGCATGCATACTTGGCCAATAAAGGTAATTATGATTTTTTTAAATAAAAGGCTTAACAAAGCTTAATTCATAAACGTTAAGAGACCCGCATCTATATGATCAAATGCCATTATATACCTTCACAACTAAAACAATAAACAAAATGTTTAAAGTCACATAAATCAAACCTAAAGACAGATCATTTATTCTGATTCTAAAAAATCTTTATAAAACAGAAACCCATATAATGAGATAACTAATGTTGACAAAGAAAGGATATACATATGGTATAATTTTCACAATATCCTGCAAGCACTTAATTTGGTATGTTAATGATTGGAAATCCATAGAGAGTAGTATCAATATCCATGGAGAATCAATATCAACACGGATATATAATCTAATCAACAATTGCGACAAGTCAATAAAGTCAATGAAAACGTCTTTTGTCAACAGGAATCTATCACACAGAAGAAATTAAAGAGGAAAGTTCAACGCTAAAAGACAGTTGCTAGATTGGTACATGTATAAAAAAAAGTAGAAATATGTTAACAGATTATGGTTATAATACAAGCAAGATTCACTCATACAGATGACGTTTTAAGTATGGTAACAACCTATCACGATAAACAAGCAAATACGGATGTCAGTGATGCTTAGGGATTATACAATGGAATGTATACTAAATGCATTTACTGTAACTACTGTACTTAGGCACGTATTTGAGGTACTTATACTTTACTTGAGTATTTCCATTTTGTACTTTTTACTTCTACTGCACTAAATGCAGAGGGAAATATTGTACTTATTACTCCACTACAATTATTTGACAGCTATAGTTACTTGCTACTTTACAAACTTAAGAGTTTTGAATAAAAACATTTGCAGATTTATTAAAATATGATGCTTTGGTAAAGATCCGAAATGATCAATTGGCAACAATGATGGTTTAAGTCATGTGGCTGCATTTCCTTTTGAGTAATTTTAATAACTTGAAAGGTTTGGACTGTTCAAGGTGTCACTTTGGGCTCTGAGAACTTGTGACAGCATTTCTCAGAATTTCCTTAAGTTTTAAAATCCAAACAATCAATCGATTAATTGAGAAAAACATCCATAATGAAAATAATCAATAGTGCCAGTCTTATATAAAATTGTTAAAAATCAAACAAATTCAACAGTAAAATGCTGCTTACACATTAATGTACGAGTAATTATAATACAATTATACTACGTATAATAACATAACAGTGACTGGGCAACCTTTGTTGCATTGAGAACTTTGACCTTGAAAGGTTGTTGGTAATAATATTCAAAAACATTTGTGATATTTTTGTTGAAATTATCATAATGTTATGATTGGGATACCTGCCTGTCCACCTACCGGCCTTCCTGCACATATTCAGCTTGTGTACTCATTACTCATCTTCCACAAGCTGCTATCTTGACAGCTGAGAGTACTAACAATAGCCTTGTTTGTTGTTCACATTCATAATGATCATTTTGGGTAAGTGGCTTTGGAGGGAGGCCTGAAGGGACTCACTTGACGACTTTCTCATTAGATTTAGCAGCTTTTGGAGTAAGTGCTGAAAGCTACATTCATTTTTTAACTCCAGCGTACTCTTGCTAGTTTCTCAAGATTACCCACCCTGCCTTTAATATTTTACAATGTTCCTGATTATTTTACTTACGGAACACGCACGACCGAGTATTTGTTCACGATGGGATTAGCACTTTTACTTAGGTAAAAGATCTGAGCACTTCTTCCATCACCGAGCTTTTATTGGCCTTCTTGGTTGGGCTGATCTGGTTTTCTCTGCCACAAGGTGACCAGAAAGGGAGGACATCTAAGAACTCTGTCCCCAAGGACATCATCCAGGGAGACCACCTGTATGCAGAACGACGTCCCCACACTCTCTGTGCTGAAGTGCGGCGTGACGTCGTATCTGAGGCCACAGTTGTCTGCAACCGTGATTGGGTTGTCGTGTGCCAGCAGTGTGGTTGAAGTAGGAACAGTGGCTTTGACTTCCAGCTGCTCATGGCCAACTGCAGTTAAATCCACAGGCAACACCACATAGGCAAGCTGAAACCTCTCTCCAATGGTGCACTTGAGCTCCGCAGACCAACAGTATTCCTCGAGGTCTCCTAAGAAGATAAATTAATCCATGAAGGCCTATACACAGCAGATTTTATGTGCAACATGAAACAGTATTGGAGGACATAAGACTGTCACTGGTAATTTCTTAACATTCAGTATTTCATTTTTTAACAAAGGGTGAACCATCCTAGAGCTGAAAAGGCTCCTTACCTTCCGTAGAATCTTGAAGCCTTATATTATGATTGTCCTGAAGTTGCAATTTCTTGATGTAAGTCATCCTAGTGCACTCCATCAAACAGCTCGTTAGTTGTATTGCCGACACCTTGTCAGACATCGGTTTGAGCAACGCTTCCTTCTCTGAACATTCAACTGCCCCTACAGCCAGCAGAAAGGGGTACAGTATTCCAAAAGATACCCACACATTGAAATATCTTGACATTCTGTCCAGTGTCAGTAAAACATCAAATTGCTGGCAATGTTGAGCTATTGGCCCAGATCTTGCCGTCCTCTTGTGGAGTAATTGCTTAACCGTAGTCCAGGATCAATATCTTGCTCACACAACTTGACAATCATAAGTTAAGGTTCCACTGCAGCAAAGAAAAGATTTATAACAGCCCTGAAAACAAACACATGCACAGCAACTGAAAACGGTGAAGTCTGCTCAGAAGTGCGCAATATGTTGCTCTTCCCCTGACTGGCGTCCAATTTCCTGGAACACAGTGCCAAAATTTCTTCCTCTGCTATTTTCCTCCCTCTAGACTAGACATGTCTTGCAGGCATGACTTCCTGAAAGGCCGGCATAAGAAACGGCTTTCACAAAATAGTATTCAAGAATCACAGTACATTATAAATGTTGCCAGGGAAAACAAGTGAGAGCAAAAAACTGTTGATTTTAATCATCTTTATTCAAATCAAAAAATAAATCAGGAAATTGATACAAAATATTAGCATGTCATAAGCACAATAAAACATTGAATGTATTGATTGAGTTGAGGTAATATATCACTCTGGTCACTCTAGGTTGTAGTATATTTGTGAAAAAAAATCTTGAAAAAGTGAATGGTGAGGTAACTTGAGTCATATAACAAAATGACAAACTAATTATGAGAAATGGTCAAAGAGACCTATAAGGAAATGGAAATAAGAAATAAGAACTCTGCTGCTACACATGCATATAAAAAGCACATATTATGTAAATAAAATGTTAGTATATTGTCAGCCAGGCTTTGATCTTCAACTAAATTACTTTTCTGGCCAAAGTAACAACACATCACAGCAAAACACAAAATGTAATATTTTAAGTATGTCAACAAAAAGTACAATGACTTTTTCCTTTTTACGGTTACAGATTTTTGAGGTTTGCAGGGCAGCATCTTTTCTACCATGTAATACATGTAAATAGGGCACGGCCAATGGCTGTTCATGGAAAAGCACAGCACAGATGTTTTTGATTGATACAACGTTTTAGGTGCAGTGAGTTTAGCTGGATAACACAAACTTCTCCTATTACTCTCCCTGCAAAACATGTTTGTCATGGGAAGCATAAACCTAATTTACACATTAAGGAAAACTATTTTTTTATTTGAACTCAGTTTCCCTTTTGGGATTGAATTGACTTCTTACCCATAAGAGGAAATAGTTGTTTCACAGATGAAAGAGGAGACATCCAGCCTGTGCAAGGATTTGGCTCTGCACAGTCTCACATTTTTGAAAGGGAACACTCGGCAACAGTTAGTAGCTTTAAATAGCGCTCTGTAGTCATGAGATTTATTTAAAGATAAACTAGCACTTACTAGAAAGTGCTAGTTAGTCAGATGCACTTCACTTACAGCTCTTGGTGCAAGAGAAACACTTTGTCTTAATACTATTTATCTACAGAAATGCATGTATAAAATCCATCAAAATCTAATTGTTGGTCCAATGTTAATTAATAGCATAGACCACTAAAATTATAATTGATCAGTTTTATGTCCAGCTGGCTAAACAGGTCTGTGCTGGCACATTCTGGTTAGAATGGAGAAACAGGAATGCAAAACTGAGTTCATAGAGAGACTTTACCTTGGTTCCCACGCTCTGTGTTGAAATGAAGGATCTGAGATAAGTATAGCGAGAGAAGATATGTCTGCATGTGATGTATTATCTACATTTTCTGTATTTTATGCGTTTGCTTGTTCGCCAGGTGGCTCACATACTCAGGACTATAAAACAAACTTTACTCTGTGCTGGGCGGCTGGAGGTTGCCCGGATCACAACCGCAGCTGCGGGTCAGCTGCACGGAGGAAATGACAAGGGTGCTGAATTCATCCACGTAGAGGACAGGCACCATTTCCTGGGAGATGGGCACACAACATGGCACCTGAAGAGGAACAAAGAGAGGAGTAAAGCGTGGTAATACAGTTTGAACAAAAGAATGACTTGAATGTATTTATTTTTTGTCTTCTAGTGTAATATACATTCATACTGATATAGAAAATAAAAAATGCAAACATTTAATACATGCTATAGTGGAAGTTCATTACTGTGCACACACAGATATGTAAGAAAAAGTGTAGATTAATAACAGAAATAATTTTATCCAATGTCAATGAGATAAACAAAAGAACAGCAGTGGCCTTTCAAATTAGTTATGCTGGAACTCGCACACATATCTGCGACTGCATTCATTTCTGATTGACCAACTTTGGGGAGTGTCTTAGCTTGTATTTGGCACATTTGTATTGGCAGAAGGAGAAAACACACTAATCTATTGGCAGCGGTTTCACCTCCCAAACACACACAGGGTAAAGCTATGTGCTATTTATAGTTGCAACACACTGAAACTCAGGCACAGTGGTGGACAGTAACTAAGTACATAGACTCAACTACTGAACTTTAGTTGTAAGAGAAGGAGGAAAGAACAATAAAAGTATCAATGTATGTAAATGTAAATCAGTACAATAGAAGCGTATTGGTGTTTGCAGACAATCACTTCACTATTCAAATGTCTTAGAGAATTATACCTGTGAGTCAGCATCCTGGACATTGGCTTGGGGCGATGGACATTGCACACTGCTTACTTCGGGGTTGCAGAGTGCACACTGAACAATGGTAAGGCTGGCAGGATGGATAACCCAGTTGTCCCATCCCAGATCTTGCAAACACAAGAATAGATATTACAGTACATTACTATATTTCATCATGTCAATGTGCATGCTCGCACATTGTTGCATACCTTTCATGAAGATCTCAGAGGCCATGGAACAGCACTTCAGGCTCGTACCGTTTCCAACATTAGGTGACACAGAGTTGCCAGAGGCCGCTGGAACTGGAAGGACATGGAAAAAAAGACACTTTTTTTTGCTGTATGTAACTCAAGGCCACTAAGAATTAACCAGACTGGAAACAATGTGGGGTCTACAGTATTTGAATTTTGGGTTCCACTTACTTGCTGTGTCCTTGGCTCTGTGAGGGATGGTGCTGAAGGTGGCCCTCCATTGCTCTCGGACACCGTCCAGCCCACCAGCAGGCAGCTGTGGCTCAGCCTGCAAGTTGAGAGCCCCGAGGAGACCCTCCCTGATGGACTGCAATGACCCACCCTGGCACCTGAACATCATATGTCACTCAGGTTATTTACATTATGCATACTATTAAAAATATATTATATGGAAACACACAGAAATAAAAGAAAATCCTGGACATTTCACAAAAGGATTGTTAACACTCCAATCTAATCCTGAAAAGTGCTTTTTTTAGTAGCTGCTCATGCCAGACATGCTCTCTCACTCAATGAACTGTGAAAGCACTTTAGAGGCGTTTAGCTCAGCCAAGAGAGAGACATGTTGTGTTGAAGATTAATTGATTACACTGCTGAAAATTAAACAGAATAGTGTGTTAGATCTCTACACATTTTTAGAAAACAAAATGGAAACAGTGACTTTGAATCCTACCCAGAATCTAAAATATCCCTGTAATTCATGTTGAAAAAGGCCTAAGCATGAATACATCTCGTGATATGTGATCCGATGCTGAGAATATCTTAAAATATAATAACCTCTCTGCCATTTTTTATAATTCTTTGCACACTTTTGAGGAAAAAGGTTTTCAGATATTCCCTACATACAAAGACACGTCACTGCTAAGAAAAGCAGAAGATTGGTAAAAAAAGTTTGATACTGACCTGTGATGGGAAACAGGAGAGTGAGCAGCGGCTGCAGGTTCTTCCTTGGATGGCTGCAAGACAAATGCAATCACCACTGAAGAGCCCAGAAGCATCGTCGTGAAAACAAACGTAAAGGACATGGTGCATGAGCTGGACGGTCAATCTATAGATCAACTGCTTTCGGAGCCAGACTTGCGTCGGTCTAAGGCTGTGGTTGGTTCTGTGCTTCTGGTTGGAGGGGGATATAGGAGTGACCAGACAGGGATGCTCTAGCTATTGTTTGTCAAGGCCTGGGAACCTGGGTTTTTATCTTCTTGTACCCCAGCTTGACCTTGGGATATTTAACATTGTTGTCTTGTCCAGGGTTGTGTGTGAAAGAGTGCAAGGAGGATGATCCAAGAAAGAGAGAGAGAGAGAGAGAGAGAGAGACAGAAGGAGAGACTAATAGACATAGGTACAGTGGGTACGGAAAGTATTCAGACCTCTTTAAATTGTTCACTTTGTTTCATTGCAGCCATTTGCTAAAATCAAAAAAGTTCATTTTATTTCTCATTAATGTACACTCAGCACCCCATCTTGACAGAAAAAAAACAAATGTAGAAATTTTTTCGAATTTATTAAAAAAGAAAAACTGAAATATCACATGGTCATAAGTATTCAGACCCTTTGCTCAGTATTGAGTAGAAGCACCCTTTTGAGCTTGTACAGCCATGAGTCTTCTTGGGAATGATGCAACAAGTTTTTCACACCTGGATTTGGGGATCCTCTGCCATTCTTCCTTGCAGATCCTCTCCAGTTCTGTCAGGTTGGATGGTGAACGTTGGTGGACAGCCATTTTCAGGTCTCTCCAGAGATGCTCAATTGGGTTTAGGTCAGGGCTCTGGCTGGGCCAGTCAAGAATGGTCACAGAGTTGTTCCGAAGCCACTCCTTTGTTATTTTAGCTGTGTGCTTAGGGTCATTGTCTTGTTGGAAGGTGAACCTTCGGCCCAGTCTGAGGTCCAGAGCACTCTGGAAGAGGTTTTCTTCCAGGATATCTCTGTACTTGGCCGCATTCATCTTTCATTCAATTGCAACCAGTCGTCCTGTCCCTGCAGCTGAAAAACACCCCCATAGCATGATGCTGCCACCACCATGTTTCACTGTTGGGATTGTATTGGGCAGGTGATGAGCAGTGCCTGGTTTTCTCCACACATACCGCTTAGAATTAACGCCAAAAAGTTCAATCTTGGTCTCATCAGACCAGAGAATCTTATTTCTCATAGTCTGGGAGTCCTTCATGTGTTTTTTGGCAAACTCTATGCGGGCTTTCATATGTCTTGCACTGAGGAGAGGCTTCCGTCAGGCCACTCTGCCATAAAGCCCCGACTGGTGGAGGGCTGCAGTGATAGTTGACTTTGTGGAACTTTCTCCCATCTCCCTACTGCATCTCTGGAGCTCAGCCACAGTGATCTTTGGGTTCTTCTTTACCTCTCTCACCAAGGCTCTTCTTCCACGATTGCTCAGTTTGGCTGGACGGCCAGGTCTAGGAAGAGTTCTGGTCGTCCCAAACTTCTTCCATTTAAGGATTATGGAGGCCACTGTGCTCTTAGGAACCTTGAGTGCTGCAGAAATTCTTTTGTAACCTTGGCCAGATCTGTGCCTTGCCACAATTCTGTCTCTGAGCTCCTTGGGCAGTTCCTTCGACCTCATGATTCTCATTTGCTCTGACATGCACTGTGAGCTGTAAGGTGTGTACATTAATGAGAAATAAAATGAACTTTTTTGATTTTAGCAAAT